ACGTACGTACGTACGTAACGTAGTAGTGTGTGTGTGTGTGTGTGTGTGTGTGTGTGTGTGTGTGTGTGTGTGTGTGTGTGTGTGTGTGTGTGTGTGTGTGTGTGTGTGTGTGTTTGTGTGCGCACATTTCTCGCTCCTTCTGTGATGCCTTCCCTCTGTGTCCCCTCCTTTTCATCTTCCTTCACACCAACATTTGTTTGTTTCCTGTTGATCGTGTATATTGGAAACTCAACCAAGACGTGCGTGGAGCAAACACCCAAACAAACAACCGAATGAGAAGAGACAAACAACAACAACAACTACACAAACACGCGTCTGTCTTGTCGTGTCTGTTCTTGAACGAACAAACATCACAAACATCACGCACAAGAAAACGACGACGACATGACAACAACAACAACAAACGCAGAGGGTGCCATCTAAACAATGAGCAGAGCGCAGACGACAAAGCAGCCAAGAGCAATGTACACACGAACACACACACACACACGCGCGCGCGCGCGTTTCTTCGCTCACGGGAAGCAGTAGGAAACGAGAACAGGACGACAAGAGAAGGGAACTGCAAGTATGAGGAGGGGCTGGTTTTGAAGTTGAATACATTGTGGAAAAAGAATGGATGCGAAGGAAACAGCAACTGCGCTTAAGGCAGTGATTCAAGTGAGCGGAACAAGAGGAGGGGGGGGGAAAGAGGATGAGAATTGGGTCGAGGAGAAGGAGGCATTGGCTTGTGTGCGTAAACGACCAAAAACCACAACCACGATGGTGCACGCAGCACAGCCGGTGACAATGGATGGTGCAGACTCACCACAACATCAACACACACATGCGTCACTGACAAACAACAACGACATGACGCGGGCGACTATGATGCCAACAGCGCTCACTGCTCCTCAGGTTCAGGCGCAGCAGCATCAGCATCTTCATCGGCGGCCTTTGCGCCATCGTCTCCGTCGACTGCTGGTTGTGCATCACCATCACCACCATCACCGTCAGCATCAGCATCAGCATTGTCCGCTGGTTTCTCGTCATCACCAGCACCGTCCTCTGCCTTGTCCTCTGCTGGTGCTGTCGCGCCGTCGTTTTGTGCGTCGCCACTCGCATCTGCGTTGGTGCTGTCACCGCCATCATCTTCCGCCTTCTTCTCGCCATCGACCTCATCGGCCTCCCCTTGCTCTGCACCATCAGCAGCATCACCAGGCTTGCTATCGTCACCACCCTTGTCATCATCATCATCATCATCATCATCATCATCATCATCACCGTCACCATCACCGTCACCATCACCGTCACCGCTATCCTTCACTTTCGCACCATCACCATCACCATCACCATCACCGCTGTTCTCAGCCTCAGCCTTTGCGCCCTCATCCTCGTCTCCTGCGTTCGTCGCTTCTGTCTCTTCTTGCTGCGGCGGTGCGCGCGCCGCTGCCCGCTTCGACACAACGCCCTTGATAATCTCTGTAGTAGGTGGCAGTGTGTGGTGTGCGTGTGCGTGTGCGTGTGCGTGTATATCCGTGAGTGAATGATGAGGGTGAGGTTTTGTTTGGGGGTTGGGGGGTTGGCACAAGGGAATGCAAACGAACGTGAAAGTGAATACAGAAAGCAAGACGAACACAACTACGCGAAAGGAACAAGCACATAGAACATGGAACACCAACAGGCAGAGCAGGACCGACTGTGACTTACGATCGAGGAGGGTCTCAGCCACAGACGATGCGCCGAGCCGCTGCTCCACCGCGTCCATCAGCCATGGCATCACCTGCGTCTCAATTTCTGTGCGACAGAAACACAACAGGAACACACACAAAATCGTAACATGGGTCAGACTTGCATCAACGACGAAAGGGACACGCACGCACACGCAGAGATGGAGAGAAGACACATACACAGATACGCGCACACGCATGCACGCACGCACGGACAGAGAGCACACACATACACACACAACACGGAATTCACCCACCCACCCACATGCACAGAGCACACGCACCGCGCTCTTGCTGGTCGTAGAAGAAGCCGTGGTCGCTGAGGGAGGAGAAGACAGAGGGCACGAGGGTGGAGAGGTAGCTCTGTGCAAACGCGCGTGCGGCAATCTTCTCTGCCGTCTCCTTCTGCTGCTGCAGCGCCTCCCGCTGCTCGGCAATGCGCGCGTCCTTCTCGGCCTCACGGCGGCGGGCTGCCTCCTCCAGCCGCTGCATCTCCGCCAACTCTGCCGAGCGAAGGTCCTCAAACTCGCGCTGGTGGTCGCGCAGCTTGTCGAGCTCTTCCTCCTCCATCACCTCCATCAGGGCCTGCTCCATCGTCTTGCCCACAAGCACCTCCAAGATGGGCTTCACCTCAATGTCAAAGTCAAAGAGGTCGCCCTCGAGGATCTGTGTTGCCACGTCGACGCCCGTCTTTGGCGGGATGAACAGCGGCGACGGCGGCCTGTCCATAAACGGGTCCGTCTGTGTCTGCACGTCTGTCTCCTCCACGCGGTCTGTGAGCTCCTCCAAGTACAGCTCAGTCTGCACGTCCATGTGCTTGCGGCCGTCGACAGCCTCCGGGGTGCGCGGTCGTGCCTTGTCCTGCGCCTTCTTCCGCGCCCGCCGCCGCCGGGCCATCTCCTGCTTGCGCTGAATCTCGAGCGGATCCGGTTGTTGCGACTGCATGCGTGTATGCGTGTATGCGTGTGTGTGTGTGTGTGTGGTTTGCAGGCACAACAATGAGTCGAGATGGGGAGGGAGAAGGGTGCGTGTGAGGAAGTATGTGTTTTGCGAGTTTGTGTGAGTTTGTGTGTGTGTGTGTGTGTGTGTGTGTGTGTGTGTGTGCGCGCGCGCTCTGTGTGCGCTGTGTGTTTTGTGCGCTCTGTGTGTGTGTGTGTGTGTGCAAGCATGCGTCCAAGTGTATTTTGTGTGTGCATGGTTTGGTGCGCCGTATGGAGGTGATTCGTACCGCTGGGAGCGTCTGTTGACGATAGGTGTTGCCGCGCACAATGCGTGGGTCGAACATCATGTGCCCCACAGGCCGCTTGTTCGTTTTCCTGTTGACCAAGCGAGGGAGTGAAAGAGAAGAAGAAGAAGTTGTGTGTTGGTGTGTGGGTAAGGGACAAGGCAGGGTGCGGTAGGGAAGGCCAAGAGACAAGGAAATAGACATGCATGCACACCAACATCGGCCCCGATGCACAGGTACAACAAACGCACGGACACACACGAGTGACAGGCAAGCAGACAGGTAAGGTACGTTAACGGAGTTCCGTACACACGCACACAGTTCCACATACACACACAGTTCCACATACACACACAGTTCCACATACACACACAGTTCCACATACACACACAGTTCCACATACACACACAGTTCCACACACACACACACACACGCACACATACACACACACACACACACGTACTGCATGTGTGTTGTGGATGATGTTGATGCGGGCTCACGGAACTTCTTGCGTGATCCTGAGACTGCGCGAGGCTGCGACGCGAACGTGTACGTCGTCGTCGCAGACGGGTTCGTGGGTGGAATCGCCGCCATGCTGCCGCTCATGTCCTCTCGCACAAACAAAAGACAGAAAGTGGTTGGCTGTTGGTTCTTGGTGCTGGCTGGTGCTGTAGCCGTGCTGTTTGCCAAGGCGGTGCTGTCGTCAACCACAAACGAGAGCGATCAGGTGTGTCTGTGGTGTGTCGTGGTTATGTAGATCACGGAGTATAAGCGAGGCGCGTCAGGGCTTGCTCTCCCACACGCTGCTGTGCTGGGTGTCGTCTCGGTGTTTGGTGTTTGCGTTCCTTCCTTTCCCTCCTCTGTTCGCTTCTTGGGTGTTGGGCGTCAGGGTGTGTGGTTGTGTGTGTGGTTGGTGTGCGCGCTTCTGCCTTCTTGTCGCCTTGCTTGGTACCTTGGCAACAAAGTTGGAATAGTGTCTGGTGCAGAAAACAGCCGGGAGGAATCGGAAAACATTCTGTGCCCCAAACGCAAAATTGACTTTGATGTTTGATGCACTTCATGATGTCGTGTTCATCTCTGAGGAATCAATTCGTCGCGCAAAACGCAAGCAAGCGCGCGAGACAGCAGCGACACGAGGACGAAGCCCTAGAAGCACTCGATGTGCTACACCTGTACACGACGATGCCGCTGATGATGAAACAGCCTATGCTGCAGATGCGGGTGATGATCACGGCTCAGCAACGCCTGCAGCAACGCGTCGTGTGCTCTTCGTTGACGCTGGCGATCCTCCTTGTTGTCAGTACCATTGTGAGCGGGGAGGTGGTGCTGCTGGAGGACGATGCTGGCACGCTGTTCGTCAACACCACAACGGCAGGTGCGAGCGTGTTTATCAACGGCGTGGACGTTGCACGCCTTCAGACCAGGGTGGATGAGCAGCACGCGATCCTGCAGGCGCAGCAGCGCGCTTTGGCCAAGTTGGAGGCAAGCCTGTGTCGACAGCGCGGTGTGTCCACAGACGTCACAAGCATCACCTGCTTCGGGGAAGGCAGTTCAAGGTGGCTTGGTGGCGTGGCGGCACAGGACGGCCGCATTTTCGCCATGCCAAGCGATGCAGATCACGTGCTCATCATCGACCCAAGCACCAACACGGTCGACACCACAACGCTCAGCGGTCTTGGTGACCAGGAAATTAAGTGGGGTGGCGCTGTCCTTGCTGACAACGGCCTCATCTTTGGCATGCCGTGCTTTGCCGATGCCGTTCTCGTCATTGACCCCGTCCAGAACACGCTCGACGCCACGTCCATGCAGGCGACATTTGCGTCACCAGGTTACCTCAGCGGCGTCCTAGCACCGAACGGCCTCATCTTCGCCATTCCATGGTCTGCAAGGGCTGTGCTGATCATCAACCCCGAAACGCTCGCGTTGGACACAACAACGATGCCTGTGCCAATAATCAGAGTCTCCAAGTGGTATGGGGGCGTGGTCGCGCCAAACGAGCTCATCTACTGCGTGCCGCGCCGTGCCGATGCTGTCCTCATCATCAACCCAGCTACGAACACAACAGACACAACCACCATCACAGGCTTTGGGGTAGAGCTCAAGTGGCGCGGCGCGGTGCTTGCACGCAACGGCCTCATCTACGGCATGCCCGAGCATGAGTCGTCTGTCCTGATCATCGACCCAGCCACCAACACCACCGACACGACCACGCTGCAAGTTGCTGCTGATGTGGCGGATCAGCGCTGGGGCGACACTGTTCTTGCGCGCAACGGCCTCGTTGTGGGCTTTCCAGCCGACTCGGCGAGTGTGCTGCTCATCAACACTAACACCAACACGGTGGACACGACATCGCTGCCCGTCAACCGCACTGTCAACGCGTGGTGGGGCGGTGTGCTGGATGAATCAAGCGGCCTCATATATGCAATCCCGCGAGACAGCAACGCCGTCCTCGTCATCGATCCTGGCTGCTGAGTTGCTGCTCATGGTGGTGGTGGTGGTGGTGTTTGTGTGTGTGTGTGTGTGGAAGTGTACATGGTAACTGTAACTGTAGCTGTGTAGGTTCAGTTGTGTGTTGATGTGTTGGTGGTGTACGTGCGCGATTGGCTCCTGCTCAAGCAATACAACCTTTGCTCAAAACTGTGATGATTGCAACTCGGCGATGTGCACGTGTGTGTGTGAGTCTTTGTCTCGACATTCTTCGCGCCACCAAAGGATGGTTGATGATCGGGAGGGAGAACAAAATTCGCATGCTCCACTGAAATGGTTTATTCACATCATGGCATCTCTTGTGGTGTGTGTGTGTGTGGGGGGGGGGGGGCTTTGATGGATGGATTGGCGGAAGCAAGAGCAGGCATTGGTGAGAGGGTAAGGTAACAAACTCAGCGAGAAGGAGCATTGAGTGGTCACGCAGGCACAAGCTCCGGCTCTTCTTCCTTCCGTCGTTGTTCTAATGGAGGTCAAGGGCAGGGGGGGGGGGAGCAAGGGGAGCGGGGTTTGCGCGTGTGTGTGAATGAGTGAGTGTGTGTGTGTGGGGGGGGGGCTAAAGGGGAGCAAGCAGGCAGAGGGCACGCAGGCAGGCAGATAGGCAGAGAGAGAGACACGTCGACAGGAAGAACAGACAGACAGACAGATAGCCACACACACACACACACACACACACACACACACACACACACACACACACACACACACACACACACACACACACACACACACACACACACACACACACACACACACACACACACACACACACACACACACAAGAAATGAACCTGGCTCGTGCTGTGGGACGTCTGGGAGGTCGAGGGGTTCATCGGCGGGAACATCTGGCAAATCTGGCAGTTCATCCTCGTCGCCACCACCAGGCACCGCAGGCACGTCCATATCCACCATTGCAGCAGCCGTCTCCGCTGTTGCCGTCGTCGCAGGTGTCTTGGTCTTGGTCTTGGTGGCTGTCTTGGCTTGCGTCTCTGTGGCAGGGACGCCAAGCTGATGTGTTGGTTGCACATGGTGGTGTGTGAGGAAAGGCAACGTGATGCGCACGCCGAGACTCACGCGCAAATACAAAGGCACTTGCACAAGGGGACGGAGATGCACACAAACATGCAGAGCGGTAGATCGGCACGAAAGGTTGCAGATTCACTCACACACACACACATGTACACACACACACACACACACATGTACACACACATGTACACACACACACGCACACACACACACACACACACGCACGCACAAACACATGTACACATGTACACCATATTGCACGCCCCACCTCTGTTTGGAACTCTGCAAAGAGCTCATCATCGTCAAGGTCGTCGAGCGGAGTGCCCGCAATCTCGCTAATGTCCTGTGCACATACACATATCGAGAAGCCGGGGGGGGGGAGGTGTTATGGTGGCAATGCGTGGGGTAGGGGGCGATGAGGAGACAGACAGACCGGCAGGCAGACAGGCAGACACACGTGACAGACACACGTGACAGACAAACGCACGTACTCATAACACAGACACACACAGACAGACACACACACACACAGTAGTTGCGTACATTTGCCCATTGCTGCAGTTCCTGTGCGTCTGCCATGACCTCCTCCACATCCTCGACGGAGAGCTCTTTCTTCAGCGCTTCCAGCGCCTGGTTGCCTTGCTTCAGGCCATCAAGCACCTTCACTTCCACCTCCGCAAACTCAATTTGCGAGATCTGCAGTGGTGCGTGGAGCATGCGTTGTACAGGAGTGAGAGAGCTGTTGAATCACAGTGTTCCGGCCAACACCCAATCACACACGGATGGAGATAGACATAGAAACACACACACACACACACACACACACACACACACACACACACACACACACACACACACACACACACACACACACACACACACACACACACACACACGCATGCATGCAAACGCACCATGTGTTCGAGGTTTTCAATTTGTGTGAGTGTGTTCTCAAGCAGCTTTTCTTGGTACTTCTTCTTCTTCAGAATGAGCAGCGCTTTCCTGCAGACGTGCACACGAGCGCGAGTGAGGTGACGTGTGGATAGACAGAAGCAGATCAGGACCACTTGTCTTAGGGTTGCCTTTCACCACTGGCAACGCCAACATGTAGACACACAGACAAACACGGACTCACAGGCAAACGCGAACACACATACACAGACACAGACATAGAGACAGACACACAGAGACATACACACGCACACACATACACGCACACATACACACGCACGCATGCACGCACGATTTCTCGCCGGCCTTGATGAATGTTTTCGCTTGCTGCTTCTCCTTGTCAATCATGATGACAATCTGCCACAGGCGAGCAAGGTTGGTGGGTGCAGGCAACAGCGGATGAGAGCTTGTTGGAAGCATTTGATGGAAAGCAACAATTGCACGCGATATCCCCAAGCACCAACCTTCTTCCTGTATTGCTTCACACGGTCCCGTTGCTGCTTCAATTTCTGTTGTGCATCGACGATGATGGCGTTGGTGAACCATACAAATCGCCTGGACAAGCATAGAGATACACACACAACGACACACACGCACACGAGCATAGACACACACACATAACGACACACACACAACGACAGACAGACACACACACACATACACACACACACACACACGCAACGACACACACATACACATACAACAGACCAGTTGAGCGCGATCCTGTTCCGTGATCTTTGAGGCCTGTCCACCACCGCCACCACCGCTGGCGTTGCTGTTGTTGTTGTTGTTGCTGTTGCCATGGTGGTTTTCTCCTTTGAACAAGCTCAAGAGCCCACCCATCGCTGACTGTCCTCCGTGTGTGTGTGTGTGTGTGTGTGTGTGTGTGTGTGTGTGTGTGTGTGTGTGTGTGTGTGTGTGTGTGTGTGTGTGTGTGTGTGTGTGTGTGTGTGTGTGTGTGTGTGTGTGTGTGCAAATGAAAATGTGAGTCTTCAATGAAACCTTGTGCTTGCTCAACGCTGGAAGAGGAGGGCGTGTGTCCGTGTGTCGTGGGCGCTGCAGATAGGAAACTGGTGGGTGGGCTGGCTGGTGGTGTTTGTTTGTATCGTCGACAGCTCAAGTCCTGAACAATGGCTGAAGACACACATAATTTTCGGCATATCGCGGACGGTGCGTCATCCCAGCCATCCAGCCATCAACACACACACACACACACACACACACACACACACACACACACACACACACACATCAACACACCAATAAGATGTATGTGTACGTGGGTGTGTTCCTTCTTGGCTTGGTCCTTGGCTCCGGTGGTGTGCTGCTCGTTGCCTTCCACTTGTACAAGCGCTGGATGGCCATGCAGGAGAAGGTCACCTTGAAAGAGCAGGCATACGTCGAGCCACGTCCATCCACAGTGCGTGCTGCTTCTGCGTGCATGTGTGTGCGTGTGTGGGCGTACACGCGTGTGGGCGTGTGTGTGCGCACGTGTGTGAAGTGTGAACATTTGTAATTTTGATAAGCTACACAGTGTCGATGATGCGGATTTGATCGGTACTCATGCACACACACAACCTGACACACACACACACACACAAACTCACGCACACACAAACTCACGCACACACACATACACACACACACACACACACTCACGCACACGCACATACACACACACACACACACACACATATGCCTTCCCATCTCCACCACCGCGTCCGACGCAGGGCACTCGGGAATTCTTGGAGAAGCACCCGTACCACCACGCGCATCAGAATGACACAATGCAGCCAGAGAGCGTGGAATGCTTGAATGTGCTGTTTGACTTCCTCTTCTTCCAGCTCAGGGACACCATCCGCGTGCGCAGACACGTCCTCAAGCTCATTGATAGAAACTTGGCGTTTCTCATGAACAAGTCCAGCCTGGGCAACATCTGCAAGCGAATGAAGGTGGCGACAATGGCAACACGTCCAAGCTGGCAACGCGCGTGCTTTGCGCTTGCATGCACATGTGTGCTTGTGTGTGCTTGTGTGTGCTTGTGTGTGCTTGTGTGTGTGTGCACATGTGTTTGTACGCGTGTATGTGCTTGTACATGTGTGTGGGCGCATATTTTGGTGTGTTCGGCCACAAAGTTCGATTGCGTTCCTGTTCATGCTGATAGCACTTCTCACGTGCCATGCGACTGTGCCAGGTCATTGATGTGAAGCTTGGCAGCGAGATGCCGCACCTTAGCGACGTGAAGATTGTTCGGCCAGCTGTTGGTGCCATCGGCAGCAGCGACGTGAGTCTGTGCACACGCGAGCGGGAGAGTGTGTGCGTGCGTGTGCGTGTGTTTGTTTGTGTTTGCCTGTGTGTCACCTGTGTGCACTTGCGTACCAGCTTGCGTACCAGCTTGTGTACCAGCTTGTGTACCAGCTTGTGTGCTGGTGTGCTTGTGTGATGTAGTTGCGGTGCTGACCTTGTTCTACTCTCAATGCACGACGCTGAGGTGTTTGCTTTGCGTTGTCCACGAATTGCTGTTGACAACAGGTGCTGGATTTGGATGCCACCCTCCTCTACAAGTCAGTGTATTCTTTGCAGTGGTTGCGTGCGTGCGTGCGTGCGTGCGTGTGTTTGTGTGTGCGTGTGTTTGTGTGTGCGTGTGTGTGTGCGTGTGTGTACGCGTGTCTGTGTGCTTGCCATGGGGAGCTTGCCTCATGCATATGTGTTGTGATGCGGCTCACAATGGCTTATTTGCGTGTGTGCGTGTCTGTTGTCATTATAGGGGCAAGTTCAACGTGCGCATCGAAGCAGACGTGGTACGTGGTCTTGCTTGCGTGTGCGTGTGTGTATATGCTCGTGTGCGTGTGTGCAGTGCCTTTGCTACTGGATCGCTGACATGTGCTGCACCACAACTGCGCCACTCCCAAACGGTTGGCACCTCCCAATACAGATCTTCCAGCGCAAAGCAACGCTCTCCATCACCATCGTTGAACTGCGGGGGCGTGCACGCTTCTCGGTTCGTCGTTGTGTACGCGCATGTCACTGTGTCACGATGTTTGTGTGTGTGTGCGCGTGTCTGTGTGCATGTCTGTGTGTGTGTGTGTGTCTGTGTGCATGTCTGTGTGCATGTGTAGCTGCTTGCAAGAGTGGTGACTGTACTCAGGCCACGCATTGGTCCCCTTCCCCTTCCAACAACGCCCCCCACACACACATGCACATGCTTGGCAGTTCCGCTCGGAACCACATCCCCACTGGACATTTGGATTTCTTGAGCAGGGTGACGAGCCGCACATCGACTTGGAGGTCGGGCCCATTCACGTGACAATGGCAGTCTGAGTGAACTTATGTTTTGGTTGTCGGTGGGGGGGGGGGATGGTTTGCTCGCATGGCTGTGCTTGGGCTCGATGTTAAAGACAATGGACTGTGGTGTTGGTACACGACCCTCCTTTCACATAACACACATGAACATACCCCTGCATCAGTTTACAAGCATTCACCTTCACGCGAACATACCCCTTCACACGTGTGCGCTCCGGCTCGTTTGAAGGTTGAGGCGCTGATTGACAACCACCTCTTCCGCCAACTCGGCAGTATGGTCATCTACCAGGTACACGCGCCGCTGCTGTTACTGTTGGTGAACGTGGTGGCGGTTGTTGTTGGTGCTGCTGTTGCTGTTGGTGGGCACGCAGGCCGCTTCGCTCGTTGCTGTTTGCCTGGTGACATTCATCCACCCACACTCCTGCCACCATCACCAGCATCACCATCCCCGTTGGTTCACGACGACCACACGACGTACACGCGTTGCCTCCTGCAGATCAGGGCAGCGCTGCGGAAAGTGCACACGATCCCGGCCCCGAGCGACGATGACGACGACCACGGACCCCCGAAGCAGAAGATGAGGTGGGTGGCCGTGGTGGCCCTGGTGGTGACTACTTTGGTGGTGTTTAGTGGTGGTGTTTAGTGGTGGTGTTTAGTGGTGGCTTGTGGTGGTGGGGACAGTACTGTAATCGTAGCTCCTTGATGAATTTTTGCGGCCTTTTGTACCCTCATATCTCTTCACGTCATTCAAACTTACAAGCAAAATTACACACACACATGCACGTCTGCCAGATATGACCCATTCTTCACGCGTCCACTCGCACTGGCCGACACTGCCCGCAGACTGGTGAGCGAACCGCTGTGTTGTTGCTGATGATGGCTCACGTGTCTCAACCCACTCGCGTACACATCACTCGCATGCACATCACTCGCACGCACATGACTCACTCATCCCCTCTCGTGCTTGGTCTAACACCGTGGCGTTGCTGCTGTTGACGTGCGCGTCTGTGGCCGCAGCACATTGACAACCAGGACATCTTCACGGGTCGACTCACCGTTGAAGTCATTGGCTGTCGCCACCTCCAGGTGCTGCGCCTCTGCCAAAGGCTCTTGTGTGTGCGTGTGTGTGTGTGCGTGCGTGTGTGTGTGTGTGCGTGTGCGTGTGTGTGTGTGTGTGTTTTCCCATCACACCTGTGGCTCATGTGTCGTTCATCCTCGTTGCACTCGTGCTCACCCCTCTTCGTGTGTTTGACGCGCGAATGGGGATGCGACGGCACACAACGCAGAACACCCGGCCTGATCGCTCCATCTTCGTGACGCTTTCGCTGTATGCGCACACGCACGACGAAGAGCACGACATCGAGGGCGCACACGAGCGAGAGGTGAGGCATTGCATTGCACGCGGAGTTGTGGTGTGGCGTGGCTTGATGTGGGATGCATGTGTGTGATTTTTGTGTGTGTGTGTGTGTGTGTGTATGCTGTTTTGACAGTCCACAGCAATTGCAAGGCTGCAGCCTGCCCGTGTTGCACTTAGAGCCCTCTTCACACACATACACACACACATACACACATACACAACTAGTTTGAAGTGTACAAGGCTGGGGCTGGAGCGACGATTGGCATCGCTTTTGATCAGGCAGACCCGATCATCACCGCCATCAAACCAGGGACGCCAGCAAGGTACACGTGCTCATGGTGCATGTATGTGTGCATGTGTGCGTGTACGTATATGTGTGCATGTGTGTTCGTGTACATGAGTGCGTGTGCATGTGTCGCCATCTGGAACTGCGTACACCTCAGCATTGATGCCTCGTCATTCCGCTACAAACCGATGGTTCACGAGTGACCCTTGTATTGCTTCATGCCTGTTCATGTCGCTGCTTCGTGTCTATAATCCATCCGTATCCACATATCGTTGTTCACACTTCGCGCCGGCCAACAGCGGCTCTGGTCTCTGCGAAGGCGACGTTGTCACCGCAGTCAACAACATCTCCGTCATCAAGTCAAAGCAGGTCTGCGCGTATGTGCGTATGTGCGTGTGTGTGTGTGCGTGTGCGTGTGCGTGTGCGTGTGCGTGTGTGTGTGTGTGTGTGTGTGTGTGTGTGTGTGTGTGTGTGTGTGTCGGTTCTCCTTGGTGTGTTACTCGGTCGGCGTTTCCGTTGCTGTGCTCGCATGTGTGCTGCCCGTCATTCATCTATTCCCACCTCACCACCACGACCACGTTTTCAACCGCCATTACCACCATCACCACCATCACCACAACTGTGGTGTGTTCAACAAGGCCCTCAAGCTCATCAAGGAATCAGGCGTGAAGGTCCGGCTGCAGGTGATTCGGAAACAAAAGAAAACCGGACGCACAAACCGCCGTACGTGGCCGCGATGGTGGTGATGACAACATTGTGTGCGTGTGTGTGTACGTGTGTGCGTGAGTGCGTGTACGCGCGTGTGTGCGTGTGTGCGTGTGTGCGTGTGTGCGTGTACGCGTGTGTGTCCGTTTGTATCGACCTCAAGCTCACTCTCACTCTCATCTTTCTTCTTCCCGTTTCAAATTGCTTCGCTTTGATTGACAACCGGTGTAGGGGACAAGCGGGGCCGCTATTCTGAAACGCGCATCATGCCACCGTCGCCCAACCCGACGTTCAGAGAGGTTCACACGTTCCTGGTCACGCCGTCCACCCCGCAGCTGTACATCCATGTGTACGACTGCAAGCTAAAGTAGGCGAATCCATGAGTGCAAGGAGAGGGGTTGACAATCAGTTTTGGAGGCGTGTCAATCGTGGTGGGGTGTCGTTGCAGACTGCCTTCAAGCAGACCTGACACAGCGCATATCCTGGATATGCACACGACACATCGCAATTTCGCACATCACACTACATCGTATCACACACACACACACACACACACCTCACACACGCACACACACGCACACACACCTCACACACGCACACACACCTCACACACACACATGGGCTACCCACACGGCAGCAAGCAGAAGCACGCGAGGAAGAAGTATCTGCTCGGATTCGCTGCCCTTGATCTCGAGGAGACGGCGCTGTTCTGTGTTGCAAATCAGGTCAATTGTTGTGGTGCTGGCGCTATTGTTGTTGTTGTGGTGCTTTCCACGCTGTGATGGCGGTGTTGTGATTGTGTGCTGGTCGCGCATGTCTCACCGTCGTGTGTGCCTGTCGCTCACATGCGCTGTCTGATGATAACGCTGATGGTTGTCATGACCACCAGTCCAAGCTGTTGAAGTTGAAGCGGCTGCAGACTGCACAACTCGAAGGCGCTCCACCGGCCGGATTCATCAAACTCCTCCTGCAGGTACACAACACACACACACACACACACACACACACGCACAGTTGCTGTTGCTGTTGTCCCGGAAGAGGAAGAGTATGATGGTGGTGTGCGTGTGTGTGTGTGTCACATGGGTTGTTGTCGAGGTGGGCGAGTGCTTGTTGCTGAATGTGCATGTGTCTGGTGCCTTACATCATTGGCTCACACGATGCGACGATGTTGAATATGTTTGCAGCACACGCCTACACCCGTACCAAAGGACGAGGTTCGTAAATACACACACACACACACACACACACACACACACACACACACACACACACACACACAATCGCATGCGTTCACCCTGCATTCGAACCAAATATCAATCCAGCTTACTCGTGCACTGTTCTCGTTGCACATCGCCACCATCATCGCCATCATCACAGGCTGCTCCGTATCCGTCGTTGTCGCGCCGTCCCCGCGCCACTTCAGTCACAGACGCGGTCCGTGTTCGTGCCCTCGTGTGTGGTGGTGGTGGTGGTGTGTGTGTGTGTTGGTGATGCCGGACGCTCAGACTCATTCACATGCACATGCACGCATACACATGCACATGCACACACACACACACATGCACATGTACACACCCCCATCACCATCACCACCTCCAGGAGGGTGGGCTGGTGTCGGTTCAGTGGAGCGGCAGCGCAGATGCGGACGACGACGGAGACGAGGACGCGGGCTTGGCGGCTGCCAGCTCATCGCTCGCTGGTGATGACGACAGCTTTGATCACGGTCACTCGCGTCCCGTCAGTCCGTCGTCAGGGAGCGACTCATCACGGCTGCGGCGGCGGCGGGGGCGCAAGGAACCAGACACGCCACAGTCCATGGCAAAGCGGGCACTCGACACAAGCGTAGGGCTTTTTGTGTTCGTGGCTGATGGTGTATTGCGTGTGTTTGTTTGCTCGCTTTTGCTTGCCGTGGTTGATACTGTGATCGTGTGTATGCGATGTTCATGTTGCTGTCGCCTTGTGTTTGCTCTTTGATGTTGCTTGCATGCAACCCATGTCCATGCCACCAATTCATTCACACCACTCTGCTCTGCCCGCGCTTCTGCCACCACCACCACCTTCACCGCCACTATCGCCACATTATGGTTGACACTGCAACCAGACGGACTTTGACATGTTTGCGCAGGTGCCCGTACACGAACGTCGTCCCAAGTTGGAGGCACTGATGAACGAGCTTGAGAGAATGGTCAGCAGGTGGCGTGGGATGTGGCCTCCGCTGTTGTGTTGTGTTGTGTTGTGTTGTGTTGTGTTGTGTCGTGTGCGCGTGTCATTCTCTGTACTTCTTTGTGCGGACCACGTCTCGGTGCCTGCTCACCCACCGCTCATTGTCTGTCTGCATGCGCAAGCACAGCTGGAACTTGAGGCCATCACACGTAAAGACATTGAGGAGCAGATGAAACTGCCAGACCAGTCCGACAGCGAATCAGAGAGGTGCCGTGCCGTCTTGTCGCGCTGTTGTTGTTGACCGGGGGAGCTTGTGCTTGTTGTCGTTTCCTCGAGTTGTTTTGCTGTCCAAGTCGTTGTTTCACCACCAGCACCACCAGCACCACCAGCAGCGGTTTTACTTGTTGTTCTCGTCGTTGCACCTTTGTCACCAATACCACACACACACACACACACACACACACACACACACACACACACACACACACACACACACACACACACACACACACACACACACGCACACACACACACACGCACACACACACACACACCCGCTGCAGGTTACGTGAGAATCTGCGAATGTCTGACGAGCGGAGGGATTTTCTGCACCACCGCGCGCTCAAGTGCGCCAGTGCCATCATTTCCTGCGACGAAGAACTCTCCATGCTGTCATCTTCATGAGCAATGCACGTGTGTGTGTGTGTTGGATGGTTTCGTTGTGGTTGTTCGTCACAAGCATTGTATCTCTCCCTCTTCTCTTCTTTGTGTGCTACGTAGTTGGTTGGTTTGGTGTGCGGTTGCATGCATGCGACTGGCTCCACACTTCTTTCGCGGGTTCGGTCGTTATTTGCCCTGTTTGGTTTGTATTCTGGTTAGGACTGTTTGTCTGTTTGGTAGGCTGTGTACCACCATGCATTTGACATCGCGAATCAACGCGTGAAAGCATCACACAACATGAAAGGATATTGGCACAGGTTGGACGTGGTGCCGATAGGGGGGGGGGGCGACACACACACACACAAACACACAAACACACAAACAAACACATACACGCACACACACAAACACACAAACAAACACACACACACACACAAACACACAAACAAACAAACACACACATACAACAAAACAAAACCAAGCAACAGGCACATCCAAGCGCAACATCGTCATCTGCAATCTGATGTTCATTTGGCGTTCAGTGGAAGCCGCGGAGCTGGTGCTCTGGTGTGGTGAGCGGCACATAACGCACGTCAAGCAAGTGGCGCTTTTCAAGTTCGCCATCATCGTTCTTGTACACCTTGACAAACTCCTGGTAGCCGTGCTCGGGCCCCAGCGGCAGCACCATGGCCCCGCCCACGTTGAGCTGGTCAACCAAGTGCTGCGGCATCTTCGCTGCAGCCGCGCCAACGTGAATGGCGTCATATGGGCCGAGTTCGGGGTGGCCCTTGAACCCGTCGCCGGCAAACACGTGCACGTGCCCGGCGTCCATGCGCTTTGCCATCTCGGGACACTTCTTCAGGTTGCGCTTGGACATTTCCGCAAGCTCTGGGATGTGCTCGACGCCAACAACGACACCCTCCGGTCCCACCATGCGGGAGAACGCCTCCACGAGCACGCCAGAGCCGCAGCCAATGTCCAGTACGCGCGCACCGGGCTTGAGCCTGTCGTGAAGACACTCGAGGGCGTACGCGTGCATGTGCGGTGCGGAGATGGTGCTGTTGTAGCCAATGTACTGTGGCGCGTCCTCGTATGGGGATTGGTCCTTTGGGACATACAGCCCGCGGTCTGTGGCGCGAAGGGCGGCCTCAACGTCATCGTGCTTGATGATGCCGCCGTTGCGCAGGTTCGACACGAGCTGCGAGTTGCTTTTGGCGGAGCAGCGCCAGGCCATGTCGGCAACGCGTCGAAAAGCTTGCGAAAGCGTCTCTTCGGCTTCGTCTGAAGGAGGCAGTGCCACGACTGGGTCGTCCATTGGGGCAGTTGGTTTTGACGGGGTGTACAGGTCCGTGTGAGGAAGGTGTTGGTGGTGGTGTTGTTGGTGACGGGGTGGAGGTGAGCGGTGTTGTTCTTGTTGTTGGTGGTGGTGTTGTTCGCGTTGTTGGGTGTCGCGGTGGACAGTGGCACGCGTGCAGGGCGTGGGCACCAGGGGTATCAGCAACAAGGCAAGGACGGTAATAGCCAAACAGCGGGTGTATCCTCGGTACATGAATGTGTGCGAGAACACGCGGGTGTGTGCGTGTGTGTGTGATGCGTGCGATGGAGAAATGCAGCTAGCACAGACATGAGCCAGGGAACTTACCAAAGCAAGCGAGCAAGCAAGAAGGTCGCGAGACAGACAGAAAAGTAAGCGCAAGAGGGGTGCTTGGAATCGATCGATCGATCGATCAATCAATCAATCGCGCAGTGGTCGCTGGAGTTGCTGCTGGGTGAGGTGGCCTGAGACAAGGGTGATGTCGGTTGCGTGTGCTGTTTAGTGGAGTCACGGAAAGGAAGGAGCAGAGAGGAAACGTGGAAATGAAGACAGATACACGAGGAAGCAGCAAGAATGGTTCTATGGTGATGGCGGAGTGGTGATGTGATGATGATGCTGGAGCAACCAGCGAAGCAAGCACGGAGCAAGCAGAGCAAACGGAGCAAAGTAGCAGAACAAGCAAAGCACTAAAGCAAACGGAGCAAGCAAGCGCTGCTGCAACGATTGCGTTGGATTTGTTTGTGTGTTGCTTCGTGGTGTGTCATCGTTGATGACCCTGCAAAGAAAGGCAATTTTGCCTTTGTCCACAAAAGTAAAATTTGCCTTTGTGAGAACGACCAGCAGCGGAAGAAGACGAAGCGACACGATGAGCCACAACAACAACGTGCATGAGGATGGAACGATTGGAGCCAACGTCGAAGAGCAAGAGATGCAGCAGCAACAGCAACAGCAGGAGCAGCAAGATCGGGAACAGCAGCAGCAAGGAGGAATGGACAGTGATCCGGCTGAAAGTGCAGACGGGATTCCACCACCGAAACGGCCTCACATGCGTGAGTCAGTCAGTGGTGTCATCAGCAGTTGTTGTGTCATGCGTGGATGCCGGCTCTGCTTGGTTGTGCGTTGATTTGGACGTTCAGGTGGTGTGCTTCACTCTGTGCCAGGTTGTGCAGTTCGTTTAGTGCCACTCTGTGTGCTTCCCTCTGTACCAGACTGTGCCCTTCCCTCACTGTGCAATTCCTCCTGTGCCATCCTCACATGCACACTGCTGTTGCTGTTGCTGTTGCTGTTGGTGCTACTGTTGGTGCTGCTGTTGGTGGTGGGCAGAGGCTGAAGGAGCACAGGAAGCAGGCTTGAGCAGCGAATGCGAACAGGACCACGGGCCTGAGGGCAACACAGATGCCCTAGATGATGGCAATGGCCACGTTGTTGGGGACCAGAACGATGACGGCGAGGAACCGGACGAGGAGGAGGAACTGGGCGACGAGGAGGAGGAGGAGGAGGAGGACACCAGGTTGCACCCAATTGACGTGGAACGTAAGCAGTCACTCATGCGTACAATTATTGCTGTTGTTGCAGTTGCAGCTGTTGAATGCCGCGGCTGTGGTGGCTGTTGAATGCTGCTGCTGACTGCAGCGCAGGCTCTCATGTTCACTTTGGTTTGAATGCAACGAAATTGTTCCCTACCAGTGATGAACAAGTGGTTCGTGCGCTATCGCCAGCGCGGCGGTACTGCAGACCGCATCATCGAGTACCTCAAGATGAGCTTCGCCTTTGAGGTTCCTCAAACAGAAGACGAGAAGTGGCAGCTCATCGCCCACGTTGCTGCTACCATCCTTGGTATTAATGTGTGTGGGTGTGTGGGTTTATGTGTGTTTGTGTGTGTGCATTTATGTGTGTACGATTGTATCCACGTTTGTGCGTGATTGTGTGTGTATGCGTGTGCGCGTGCGTTTGTGTATTTGCGTGTGTGTGCGTGATTGTGTGTATGCGTGTGCGCGTGCGTTTGTATCCCCGTGTGTATGTGTGTGTGTGTGTGTGTGTGTGCTGCCCTCACGTCGCAGTCGTGTATTCGTTGCTGTCCGCATGTCTTCATCATGGGCACAGGCAATCGCCTTCCGCGTCGCATCTCGTATCTGACGGTGGAGGAGCTGCTGAAGATGTCTGAGCGGATTGTCGTTATCGTCGGCGCTGGCGTAAGTGGCATTCAACCGCGCAAACAACCGCACGCGATGCACTCACCCGACCACAAATGCATGCACAGACAGGCAGACAGACAGCAGACAGACAGACAGACAGACAGACAGCAGACACACACACACACACATAGACACACACACACATAGACACACACACACACACACACACACACACACACACACACACACACACACACACAGAGCTCACCAGGACCACCACTTCTACTGTGACGTGATGATATCAGGTGTCGACATCGAGCGGAATTCCGGACTTTCGGTCCGAGAAGACCGGCCTGTACGCCCGCCTGAAGAAGGAGTACCCAACACTCCCGCGCCCAGAGGTGCCCGTTGTGCATGATGCTGCTGTGTGTGTACGTGTGCTGGCATGCTTGTGGAAAGTGTGTAGTTGTGATACCTTCTCTTCGCATGTCCTTGTCTCCTCCCTTGCCAGTTCACAACTACCTTCTCCTTCCAATCTCACCACCCACCACTTCGCCACGACCCCGCCTTGCGCACATGCAGTCGATGTTTGACATGGACTACTTCCTCTACGACCCGTATCCGTTCTTTGAGTTTGCACGGGAGCTGTTCCCAGGCAACTTCCAGCCCACCCCGAGCCACCACTTCATCCATAGGCTCGAGGCTGCCGGCAAGCTGCAGAGGTGCGCGGTAGTGATGGTGACGAGAGGGGCGCTGTGTTTGTAAGCGCGCGCGTGCGTGTGTGTATATGTGTGTATATGTGTGTATATGTGTGTATGTGTGTGTATGTGTGTGTGTATGTGTGTGTATGTGTGTGCGCGCGCGCGCGAATGAGTGCTTGGACAGGACGATGCTTGAATAACCGAACAGTCACACCTCCCCGATGGTTCGTCCGTTGTCCACCGCCGCCACCACCACCATCATCACCAGGTGCTATACGCAGAACATCGACACGCTGGAGACCGCTGTTGGCATCAAGCGCCTCCTGCAGTGCCACGGGTCGTTCGCCACAGCGTCGTGCATTGTCTGCGGCCATAAAGTCGACGGCGAACACATCCGCAGCGCCGTCTTTGCTGGGGTAAGGTGCCATGGTCATGTGATGGTGGTGGTGGCAATGTGACGATGTGGTGGTGGCAATGTGACGATGTGGTGGTGGTGGTGGTGGTGGTGAATACATGCGTGGGGTGCGTGTGTGTTTGACCTTTCGTTCACAGGCGTCACTGTTTGCACCTCACTGTCAACCCCCAACTCCATCTCCCCCACCACCGCTACATCTGCGCAGGAGATACCGCTGTGTCCCGTGTGCCCGCCGCCCAGCCGGCCCCTTCGCGAAATAGTGGACGAAACATCCAAATTCCTCAATCTGAAGCACAGACAGTACATGGTTACGTCAGGGAGCAGCAGCGGCGACGATGACAGCGAAGATGGCAGCGATGATGACGGTGATGTTGTCAGTGAAGAAGGGACAGGGAGCACACCAACAACAGGTGCCGGCGTGACTGCGAGTGGAGGTGGAGGTGGAGGTGGTGATGGGAGTGGCAGCACGGCAGTGATGCAAACGCAGGAGGGAGGCGGCAGTGTGGTGGATGCGGCGCCGGCCAACGCTGGTGCCGTTTTGCAACAGGCAGTTGGTGGCGACAGGAGAGAACAGCAGCAGCAACATCAGCAGCAAGGGGTGCCGCAACAAGAGCAGCAACAACACCAACAGGCACAAGAACAACAGCAAGAACAGCCACAGCAATCCTCCGCTGCCACTGCAACCACTGCAACCACTGCAACGGCACCACTGAACAACAGTGTGCATGCGCACCGCCAAGGCATGGACAGTATTTCGTTGTCGATGCCGCCCTTTTCGAATCTGCGCGACAGGCGCGTCCCCATTCTCAAACCGGACATTGTGTTCTTTCACGAAGGGCTACCCTCCACGTTTTACGACAATCTGGAGCCGGATCTAAACGCCTGCGACCTCATCCTCGTCATGGGATCATCCCTCCAGGTTTGTTTCGTTGTGTTCGTGTGTTCGTGTGCTTGTGTGCTTGTGTGCTTGTGTGCTTGCGTCGCTGTGTGAGTGTGCTGTGCAGGTGAGCCTTCTGCAATGGCAACCTGCGACAGCCTCACCCCTCCCCCCTCCCGAATCTTTCCACGGACGTCGACCAGGTTGGCCCCGTGAACATGCTGCCGAAGGTGTTTGACGGACCAAAACTACTCATGAACCGCGAGCCCGTACACACGCACGAGTTCACGGCGGAGTTGCTTGGCAACTGCGACGACGTGTGCCGGCAGCTGGCGCTGTGCATGGGACTTGGCGACTTGCCACCCGGTCCACGGGACAGCATCGATGGCGTTGATGGTGATGGTGATGGTGCTGGTGATGGTGCTGGTGCTGGTGCTGGTGATGGTGATGGTGATGGTGATGGTGATGGTGATGGTGATGGTGATGGGAGTGTGGATGGTGGAGTGAAGGAGGGGGAGACAAAGAAGGAAGAGGAAAAGCAGAAGGAGGAGAAGAAGGGGGATGGGAAAGCGCAAGATGGCGTGCGGAACGACAGTGAAAACCGTGATGATGATGATGATGGCGATGATGGCAATGATGATGAGGATGACGAGGACGAGGTGACGTCCATGGTTCGCGAGTTTGCGCTTCGCAGCGAACCGGCTCTCAACTCCACCGGCGCCGCCATCGCCCACCACCACCCGCACAGGTGTGCGCCTGCTGTGACAATACTTGTGTTTCCGTGTGTGTTTGCTGTGTGTGTGTGTGTGTGTGTGTTTGCTGTGTGTGTGTGTGTGTGTGTGTGTGTTTGCTGTGTGTGTGTGTGTGTGTGTGTTTGCTGTGTGTGTGTGTGTGTGTGTGTGTGTGTGTGTGTGTGTGTGTGTGTGTGTGTGTGTGTGTGTGTGTGTGTGTGTGTGTGTGTGTGTGTGTGTTTGAAGCGACGTGTGAGCGAATGTGTTTCATCCAGCCCTCCTTTTTCAACTTCCCATCACCTCACCTCCCTTCCGTCCCCCCTCTTCCCATATTCCACTTCAGGTTTGTGTTCTCGCCCCTGTGTCGTCGGTTTCTCCCTGCCGCCGCCCGCCGCGACTTCCTCCCGTTTCCAATCATGCGTACAGACGCGTGGCTCAGGCAGCCAACACCGACAGCGACAACAGCAGCAGCCAGCAAAGCCAACGATAGCTGAGAAAGGGGGAATGAAGACGGGTGCAATCCACTCGCTCTCTTGCTCTCATGCTCGCACACACACAGACACACACACACAGACACACACACAGACACACACACACACAGGCAAGACACAGACGCTCGTAGAGCATGCTTCTCTTTGTGTCGGGAATGCGCTGTTTGCTGCGAGGTTGTGTCGGTTGTATTGTTTGTATTCAGTTACACGAAGCAATTACACATGCCAACATTAACACACACACACACACACACACACACACACACACACACACGGCAAACGCAAGAGACAGTGGGTGATCGGAGAAGGGGCAGAGATATCTGTACGCTCAGTTGTCTGGCAAGCACTGCAGTTGCAAAGAAAAAAGGCAAGGCCGTGAGCACACATGTCGACGCACACAGATGCACAATGGGGACGGGGGGGTTGAGACGAGCAGGACGAGCAGGCATAAGGGAAGAGGAATGCAAGCAAACCAAACAAGCACCACAGGCAGACAGACAAACAGACAGGCAGACAGAGAGGCAGGCAGGCAGGTAGGCAGGCGGACGATGCAGCACACTAACGAGATATTCGATAAAGACGGATTGGACGTCTGTCTCCACAAGAAACTGCATGGACAATATGCCTTCCTCGTTGATCCGCACCTGAAGCGATCATAATGGTGGTGGTGGTGGCGGGCATGAGGAAGGGTGTGTTTGTGCACGTGAACAGGTTCAAGGTTTTGCACGTGAGCAAGTGCTGAGCGAGTGGCGTGACTGTTGTTCCCAACGACACACACGCAACAACGACAATGACCCAGCACGCACCGAGACTTGCGACGCGAGGGCGAGCGCCTTCTCTGACGGTTTCAACAACTTCAGCTTGTAGCTGAAACAACCACGTAATGCACACGCACACGCACACGCACACGTGTGACGATGGTGCAGTCGTGGTGTGAGGGGAGCACGCGGGATTGCCTGACACCCATAGCCATCACACACACACACACAAACACACACACACAGACACACACACACACCCATAAACACACGTACTTGAACTTGAGGGGCTTGTCGCACTGGAAGGATTCGACTTTGTCTGATGTCTTTGGGCAGTCAATCTGTTCCATGCAGTGTTGATGCGTTGGGGGGAGGGTGTTGGAGAGTGAAGCAGTGAAGGTGGTCGGTGAATGGGCAGTGCACACACAGACATACAGACACAGATACACAGACACACGGACACAGACACAGACACAGACACAGATAGACAGACAGACAGACAGACAGACAGACAGACACACACACACACACACCTGGCTTGTGCCCGCGGTTCCAAAGGTGCTGAGACGAAAGTGCGGGGCGGTGGGGGCGACGTAGAACTCAATGACGGTGCTGGTCGTGTCGAGCTCTGAGAACACCTCTGCCAACCAATCGCTCTGATCCACGAGGCAATGAGGCAATGGGGCAATGGGAGGAGTCGATAGCATATGATGAAAAGCATACACACGTAACAAAGAGCCGCTGTTGGAACGTCACCCAAAGGCAGCAGTGCTTGCACACACACACACACACACACACACACATACACCTTCATGATGACATTTGTGGGGATGGCTGCTGTTCGCATGTCAATAGAGGCAAACTCATCTGCTTCCTGGGTTCGAATGCTGCAGTCTGTCACCACCCCATGTTCCTCCAACCTGACACACAAGCACAAGAAGCAAGTGCAAGCAAGAGGTGAGAGAGGGGAACGCTGAGTGGGCATGCATCGGTGCATTCATTGGCATACCACGAGATGAGGTGATGCAACTCACAGGAGGTTGAGACAGCTGCCATATCCTGCGTAAGAGAGCCGCAACGCCACGCCGTCCCCTTGGCCAAAGATGCTCAGGCACTCCTGCATCCCGTGTGAGTTGGTGGGTGAGTGAGTTGGTGGGTGAGTGAATGGGGGAATGAGTGAATGTTGAGTGGGTGAATAGTTGAATGGTGGGTTTGCGAGAGTATTGAGTGAAGGCGGCAATTGGCAGTCGTGTGCGCGCGTGATGGGAGTGTGTCGTGCTTGTTGGCGATGAATGGCTCCAAGGTATCATCGATATCATCTCACGACGCACCAAGAGTACGCTGAGGTTGACTTTAAATTCGGCCACGTCCATGTCCTCTTCTTCTGGTGTGAACCTGGGGGAGGGAAAGAGGATCGGCTGGCATGAGAAAACCACAGCCACAAAGGTGGAAAGGTGCAGCTACACACGGTTGCAAAGAGGGCTGGCGGGGGAGGGGGGAGGGGAAGAGCAATGGATGGTCCCAGTTTTTGCACACACACACACAGACACAAACAACACACACACACACACACACACACACACACACAAACACAGATGTGTGTGTGTGCTTGCCTGTAGTCTGAGAAGAGGTCCTTGTGGAGAAAAGCGCGCGCTTGCACCGTCTTGGCTTGTTCACACGCAAACTTGATGCCTGCGCCCAAGATGGTGCAGGTGGCCTCGTGCGTAAACGCAATCGCCTTGAGCAATTTCGCTGCACAGCCAGCATCAAGGCGCATGGCGGGGGGGGGGGGGTGAGAGAGGTGAAGACAGGAGCGCGTCAAAGGTATCCACACGTCACAGCACACAGCGACAACACATTCACTCACACATAATCGCATCCACACACATCCACACACATCCACACACATCCACACACATCCACACACACATTCACTCACTCATGAGCTTGGCGTCCTCCAGCCGTGCCTGCAGCAGCATGGGAGCCTGCGACTCCCCGACACTGCTCTGCATCGACATGGACATGGACATGATGACTGCTGTATGGGGTGCTGTGCTGTTGTGGTGGAGTTAGTGGTGGTTGTCCTTCCTCTTCCCGTCGTTTGCTGCTCTTCGTGTTTTTCGCGCCGTCTGCACTCTTGTTTCACGTTCAGACGTGTTTTGGCGACAACGTCATTTGGGTAAATGTTCCTTGAAGTTTCTACAACCAATACCGCCACGAACGACCGAACGCTGAGGAAAGGGAAACCAAGCAAGGAAAGGGAAACCAAGCAAGGAAACCAAACCACAGTGCAGACAACATCAACTCGCATTCACCAAGGAAGCGAGCGAGGGGCAAGCAAGCAGGGAGAGCGTGCTTTGGCTTCTTGTGGGCAGGATGGGAAGGCCAAACGCGAGGCTTGGCGTGGGTGCGTTGGTGGCGGTCAAGGCCAAGAGCCTAAAGCCGGAAGCATGGGTGCGCCCACTGCTTGGGGACAGCTATGACACGGCCATTGTCAACGACCTGGAGGTGATTGGGCTGGAGGAAACCATCAACCTCACGGGCAAGCGCAAGGCCAAGAACAAGATGCGCTCCGAGCACGGCATCGTCTTCATCCCTTACGTTCGCATGCGCTGGCGCTCGCACCCCGAAATCGTCTCTGTGTACGCCGTGCCAGGCCAGATCAAGGTGCTCCAGCTTGGCCCACCAGAGCACATGTTCCTCTTCCAGCACATGGTGACAGGGAGCGGTGGCTCGTCTCGGGCCCCAAACATCTTCCACCACCTGGCCGTCTCAACCCCTTCCCCGCAGAGGTCCAGGACCAACGACCGCCCTTCAGCGCCCTTCACGCCAGCCGCAGCAACCCCAGCAGCATCATCAACCGGAACCACACCCGCAGGTGCCTCTCTGCCGGGAGCCATGGTGCCCACACCTGCTCGCCCACAGCCGTCTCCACAGCATCTGCAGCAGCAATGGGTGACCTCCCTGACCAACAATGGTCGCATACCACAGGAGCAGCAACAAGAACAACAACAACAACAGCAACAACAACAACAACAACAACAGCAACAACAACAACAACAACAACAACAACACGAACAACAACAACAACAACAACAACAACACGAACAACAACAACAACAGCAACAACAACAACAACAACAACAACAACAACAACAACAACAACAACAACAACAGCAGCAAGAACAAGAACAACAACAACAACAGCAAGAACAAGAACCAGAAGCGTTGCCTGCTCCACAAGCTGCGCAGCTGGAGGAAGTAGCACAGGCGACAACTGGCAATGCGCTGCCCTCTCCTGAACGTTCGTCGTCTTCATCCTCGACGTCGTCAAGCGAGCGTCAAGCAATCAGCGGCAGCACTGGCAACATTATTGACCCCAGTGCGCCAGCGTCAACGCAGAAAGCAGGCGTAGAGCAAGAAGTCGTGGTGGCCCTTCCACAGGCGAGCGCACAACAGGCCCACATGACCCCTGCTGTGGCAACAGGTGCCACCACCACCACCGCCACCATGGGCGGCGGTCACCAACAAGAGGCGGCAATCGACAGGCAACAACAACAGCAAGCGGCTGCGGTAGCTGGTGGTAGCGAGGGCATTGCTATCACAAACACAGAACAGCAATCACAAAGCACAGGTGACGACGACGGGGGTGACTTGGCTGCGAAGCGTGCCAAGGTGATGGACACCCAAGCTACAACGAACACCACGACATAGGGGTGGCGAGAGAACACAACGCTGGTGACGACACCAACTGCAACAGCAACAGCAACAGAAATTGAGCCCAACTTGTTGATATGTCTCTGACACGACGCTGCTTCAGCGTTGATTGCATTTTCCCCTCTTGCTTCCTTTCTCTTTCTCCTCTGTTCTTCCCCTCCTTGCTCGACATTGACCGGGCGAGGGTCGGCAATAATCGATACAGTATGTGTTCTGCTGTTTGTGTGTGTGTGTGTGTGTGTGTGTGTGTGTGTGTGTGTGTGTGTCTGTGCGTGTGTGTGTGTGTGTGCGTGTCTCTGTGTGTGTGTGTGTGTTGTCAGGCTATTGTGATGGCATGCGTTGCATCGGATGTTGATTCAAGCGTTTGTGTTGTCAAAGTAAACCCAAACATGACACGATCAAACATAGCCAGCGAGAACATGCACACACCCACGCACACACGCACACGCACACGCACACACGCACACGCACACGCACACACACCCACACACCCACCCACACGCACGCACGCACGCACACACGCACGCACGCACGCACGCGCACACACGCACGCACGCACAAATGCTAAACAGCACCAGGACACAACCAACATCATTATCACACGATGGCATCATACATTGGCGCAGCAAACTGCTGCTGCTGCTGCTGTTGTTGTTGTTGTGGGTTGAAGGCGGAGGCAAATGATGATGACGACGATGATGACACATCGACGCGCTGGCGGGGGCGGTGGTATGTGATGCCAAGCTCCTCACACGCTTCCTGTGCAAGGGGAAAGACGAAACAGGTGTTGTGAGAGATGGGGTGAAGGGTTGACGGTAGATACCACCACATGGAAGGCAAAACAAAAACGACACACAGACGCAGACACATTACGACAGACGGACACACAGACACAACAAACAAACAAACAAACAAACAAACAAACAAACAAACACACAAACAAAGAAACAAAGAAACAAAGAAACAAAAAACACACACACACACACACACACACACACACACACACACACACACACACACACACACAAGCACAAACACACAAGCACACAAGCACACACACACACACACACACACACACACACACACACACACACACACACACACAAACCCTCGCTCTCCCGCTCGTTGACCGCACCTTAATGACTTGCACGAGCGCGTGCATGCGGGCCACGTGCTCGCCGTTCTGGAAGTTGGTCTGGTGCTGCGGGAACATGCTTATCTTGACGGAGTTGCCATCGTCAAAGTTGAGGCCGCGAACAAAGAACCCGCTGTCCTTCTCCTCAAAGTCGTTTGGCATGCTGCGCAGGAACTCACGGTAGCGCTGCTCAAGCTGCTCCAGCTTGCACCACGGCGTGTCCATGTCAACCCATATGACCAGGGGGTCCACCTGCCGCTTGGCGCGCTGTATGTTGACAAGCGTCTGCGTGTGGAGGACGTAGTTTGGCACCGTCACAACGCGCCCGTCCCACACCTTGAAGGTGGTGAGGAGCAGCTCAAGCCGCACCACGTACATGGGGTCCCAGTTTGGCAGCACAACACGGTCGCCCACGTCAAACGGGTGCTGCACAAAGAGAAACACAAACGAGTTGAACACGTTCTTCGCGCTGTCGGCGAAGATGAACGAGAGCGCAAACAGCGTCGTGCCCACGGTGACCGTCACCTCCGCATAGTCGCCCGTGCTGAACGCAATGTTGAGTGCAAACAGGATAAGCACCACCACCGCGGCGGTCAGGAAGCTGGCCAGTGCGTGCGTGATGCTCTCCAAATCGTTGAGGGTGATGGCCAAGTTCTTTCGGTCGCGGTAGACGCGCTCCACACGCTCGCGCATCCAGTCCTCGTCGGCCTTGCCGGTGCCGTGCGGGTCGAACATGTCCTGCGCCTTTGCAAACAGCTCCTCGCTCGACAGCTCGTCCTTGAGTGTTGCAATGTGCACCTGCCCATTGTGCTGGTACCGGTCGAAGATGGCCTCGGCAAGGCGGCGCGCGAGCAGCCCGTTCTTGATGGCCACGCGATTGCGGCACACGGTGATGTAGCGGAGGCGGATGGCCTCGAAGCCTGCAAGCAACGACGCGCTCACTTCTGTTGGGTCATCCTCCCCAGCAGTCATGCGCGAGTTGACAGCAGCGGCAGTTGTGGCAGCGGCAGTTGTGGCAGCGGCGGCGGCGGTGGCAGCCTTGTCGGTGTCGTGGTTGTGATTGCTGGCAGCTGCTGCCTTGCTGCTGATACTGTCACTTCTCCGCTTGTCTTTCTTGTCACTGTTGTGAGTGTGGGATTCCTTGTTGCTGTGCTGGCTGTTCGCGTTGTTGCGCGCTCCTTGCGAGTGGCGGGCGCGGGGCTGCTGCGTGTTGGCGTACGACAACGATTGCGATTGCTGTTGGTTGTTGTTGTCTCCACCACTGCCATTGTTGCGGTTGTCCTTGTTGTTGTTGTCCTTGTTGGCATTGCGTGCGCGTTCATCACCCCTGTGCCCCCTCAATCGATGCCGCCACCACCGCCGCCGCCGCCGTGTGCCCGCCGTCGACATGGACGTGGACAGCTCCGCCGTCTGGCCCGCATATCCTCTTGTGAGCACATCATCGGGCGAGTGAATGTTCGTGGTTGGGCCCTCCTCTTCCCGGTGCTGGTGATGCTCATCAACATCCTCTTCAACATCGTCCGCAACATCGTCGTCATCATCAACAGGGCGAATGAGCGGAACAGCTCGTCGACCACCATCATCGCCGCCGCTGTGCCTGCGTTGCGGTGTTTCGCTGCCCGTATCCTGATGCGCAGACGTGAGCGCTGAAGCCCTCCGCTGCTGCTGGAATTGTTGCTTGTCGTGTTCGTGGGACGAGGCACCACTGTCCGTGTCATGGCGCTGTGCCTCGTCAGGGTGGCGGGCACCGCTTGCAGCTAGCACGCCTGCCTGGCTTTCGGCCTGTGTGGAGTGCAGATCTGGGGTGGAGATGCTCTTAGTAATCGGTCCAGCGACACCGACACTGCCGGCGTTGGTGTCGTCGTCCTCGATGGCTGGTGCTGCGTGTGTAACCCTGCATTCGTGGCTTGCGCCCCTCTTGAGCTTGCGCCCCCTTTTCTTCTCCTTATCCTGTTCCTTGCGCTTGGCCTTTTCCGCTTTCTCCTTCGCCTTCATCCTCGCCTTCTTCGCTGCTGAGCTCATGCTGGGCAGGCTGTACCGCCGTGGTTTCTCACCATCGCCAGCTCCGGCTGGTGTCCCGTCCTTCGAGTCACCGGCGTTGCGTTCCGTGCGATCACCATCACCATCGCCACCACCACCGCGAGCATCATCACCACCCTCCTTGTCGACGCGCTTGCGAAAGCGCCACAGCTTCTGCAGGGTGACAGCTGCGTCGTACTCTGTAAACTGCTGCTTGCGGCGTGGGCGCTTGTCGCTGAGAACACTGGTGGGCGTGATGGTGTCGGTCAGATCTTGCAACACTTCCTCCGCCCGCAGTGCGTCCTTGACAGAGCTGGCCTGGTTCAGCAAGCGCGTCTGTGGTTGGTTGCGGTGAAGGGAGGGTGGGGAAATTTTGGTGGTGGTGGTGTGTTGAGGTAACAAATGAAAGCACGAGAGACGTGAGCGTACGACAAGAAGAAGGGGGGTGGTGGAGGGGAGGTAGGAGGGGAAGCGAATTGAAGAAGCAAGAAAAGGATGGGGGGGGGGACAGGAGACGAAGACAAACAAATGCATGCACGCATGCACGTGTACACAGTGTGTGTGTACGCATGCCTACAGACGAGGAGACAAACACACACACACACACACAGACAGACAGACAGACAGACAGACACACACACACACACAGACAGACAGACAGACAGACACACACACACACACACACACACACACACACACACAGGACAGACGCAGATACGCACCACAGACAGAGAGACAGCCAGACAGAGAGACAGACATACAAACACAGACACAGACATACTGACCCCGAAGCGGAGGCGGACGACTGCCAGGCCACGAAGGACGAGAAGAACGCCAAGGAAAATGTTGACAATCATGAGGCGCGGCAGCCACCACACCCTGTCAAAGTCCAGCTTGGACTTGGTACCGTTGACGCGGGCGGGAAACGGGTTGGCGTTGAAGATGCCGTAGAACGCAACCACAATGAGCACGGTCCACAGGAGATAGCAGACGGAGAAGTAGATGCCGGTGAGAATGATGCGGCTGGCGTTGCTCTCCCTGACGATGATGATCACGGACATGGTAATCCAGGTCACGATTCTGCACACGAGCCACAGCGCGACCCACGAGCCCACAAACACAGCCCAGCAGGCGATGCTGGCCGAGGCGAGCGTCCTGTTTGGGTCGTTCTCACGGAACACAAACCCAACGACAAAGACGATGCCGATGACGATGAGCCATGCTATCCAACCGCCCCAGCTTGGCTGCGACCACGTCGTCTGCGCAAACGGCACCGAGAGCACCTTGAGCGGTGGCGGCTGCGGCGGTGGCTGCGCCAGAGATGTCGGCGAAGGTGACGTTAGCGTCACGGGCGTCGCGGAAGCTGGCGGCGGTTCTGCCGCTTTTCTGAACCTCACAGGTTCCGGGGGCATCACTTCCTCTGTGTGTGTGTGTGTGTGTGTGTGTGTGTGTGTGTGTGTGTGTGTGTGTGTGTGTGTGTGTGTGTGTGTGTGTGTGTGTGTGTGTGTGTGTGTGTGTGTGTGTGTGTGTGTGTGTGTGTGCTCTGAATGAACGACAGGGGCACGGGCTCAGGCACAGACTACGTGGGTCCGTGGGTGCGTGCAAACACCGTTTCCCGTTGGCGTGCACGAACTTCCAGTACAGATGAACGAAGAAGTGGACGTGGGGAAAGCTGTGTTGAAGGAAGGAAAGCAATGCAACAGTGGGTGCAAAAAAGAAGAATGAGTGATCGTCGCTTCTTGCTTCGTTGCAGCAAGAAGGAAGCAAGTGCAAGCAAGCAATCAAGGCACTGCCATCACGCAACCACATTCGGTCCTGCGCGTGCAAACCGCGCGCAGGCGCCCATAAACACGTCTGACACGTTTCACACACCCACGCGAGGAGGCGAAAGCAGCAGCAGAAGCAGGTGCACCTTCACTTCCTCTCACCACACCAACTCAACTCACTCACCAAACACCAACCCAACTCACTCACTCCCTGTGACAGGCGGAACATGGAGCAGCAACAAGAGGCAAAGGTGGTGAAGCTGCCAGGGAAGGTGCGATCTCGGCAGAGCCAGAACCCCGTCAGCAAGAGAGCCAAGATGGCAAAACAAGCACAACAAGCTCAACAACAACAACAACAGCAGAAGGAGCAGAAGCAGAAGAAGACGAAGCAGGAGCACAAGCAGCAAGCACAGGGACAACAACAGCTGGCACATAAGAACAAAGGCAAGAAGACTGGCAAGGGGAAGCAGAAGAAGGGCAAGGTGAGGAGAGTGCCAGATGGTGCCGATGATGATGATGACGAGGTGAAGGAGCAAGGGCAACAACAGCTGCCAACAGTCACTGCCAGCACTGCCGACGCGGCAGAGGAGGATGCTGTTGACAATGACAACGAGGATGATGACGACTTTGAGGCAAACGACTTGCAGCTTGAAGCAACTGCAGACATGCAGGTCAGCGTGTTCGTGTGTGTGCGTGTGTGTGTGTGTGTGCGTATGTGTGTGTGTGTGCGTACGTGTGTGTGTGTGTGCGTACGTGTGTGTGTGCGTATGTGTGTGTGTATGGAATGGCTTGCAATCACCTTCATGCACCGGTTTGGACTGTTCTCGACACCTTCACTCACAGGCTGTGCTTGCATGTGGCATGATACAGGCGCTGCAATGCGATGTTCGTGCGTGCTGCCCTGGCGAAGAAGACTTCTGGGGCATCAAACAGCTCCTGCACCAAGTGCGTTCAGCCACGCGGTGATGAGAGTGTGTGCGTGAGCGTGGGAGTATGTGTGTGTGTGTGTGTGCGTGTGTGTGTGTGTGAACGTGGGAGTGTGTTTGTGGGTCAATGTCTTCATTCGTTCACTCGTCCGTCTGTCCGTCCTCTCGTTTGTTCGTTCGCTCGATCATGGTGTGAGCCCACTCAAGACTGTGCCAAGACTGTGTTGGGAGTTGTGGCTGTCCTGACTTACTTTCTCGACTTGTGCTTGTGTGCTGTGTAGCTGATGCGGGATGGCTCGTTTGTGTACGGCGACCTGGCGGACAGTCTGATTGAGAACAACGCATGCTCCACTGTGATCAAGCCTGAGGAGAGCGACCAAAGCGGCGACGTGCAGTTCAAAGCACAGGTGTGTGTGCGCATGTGTGTGTGCGCATGTGTGTGTGCGCATGTGTGTGTGCGCATGTGTGTGTGTGTTTGCATATGTATGTGCGTGGGTGTGCGTTTGCGCGTGTTTGCATGTGTGTAAGTTGTTGTTGTTGCGTTTGTTTCCACGTGTTGACACTACCACATGTGCTGTGTTCAGAGTGGAGGTCCCGGAGACGATGATGCTGATGACGACGACGATGGAGAAGTGAACAGAACCGACAAATACGACGTCTTTGCCATTGCCGGTGTCATCCCGCTCTCCGGTCCAAAGGTTCGTTATGAATGCGTGCGTGCGCGTAAGAGTGTGTATGTGTGTGTGTGTGTGTATGAATGCGTGTGTGTGTGTGCGTGTGGTATTTATGCTTGTGCATGTGTGCGTGCGCGTGCGCGTGCGCGTGCGTGTGCGTGTGAGTATGAGTGTGTGTATAATTTGCATACTGTGCTTTGGCCCTGTGTTCCGATGCTGGTGCTGGTGTGCAGTTAACGTGCGCCACCATGCTTGCTCGTGGCGCAATTGACATCTGCTCACGTTGTTCTGCGGCCACATCATCCTTTCATGCAGGCTCAGGCGTCTCTCACCAAGTGGCTCGCCAAGAAATGCAGCAAGCAGGCCGATGTGGTGCGCCATGGTTGTGGACATGCGTGTATGCGTGTGTGTACGGATATGTGTATGTATATCTATGCATGTGTGTGTGTGTGTTTGTTCGCTCGAACTTGCACGTGTACATCTATTTCAACTCACCTCTCCAGCACAAACAAACTGCCCCCGCCTCTCCTTGAGGTTCTCTCTGTCTCTGTCTCTCTGTATGCTAGCCCACTCACCAATGCGCTGCGTCTGCTGTCGCCAGGTGTCTGCGCTGAAGAAGCCTGGCACCGCCTTTGTCATCTGGTGAGATGAATATCATGTGCGTGGCGTACTGATCATGGCTGTTGCCATGTGTTTGCACGTTGTTTCGGAGATGAGAAACCACGTCACTCCTGCCTTTGCCCCTTTATTGGGTCCTGTATGCTTGCGTCAATTCTTTCTCTTCGCAGTTCCTCTCTCCCCCCTCTCTCTCTCCCTCTCACTCACACACTCACTCACACACTCACTCACACACTCACTTACACACTCACTCACACTCACACACACACCAAACGCAGTGAGCGTATCATCAACCTGCCGCCACAGCTGGCCACGGCCATGTATGACACCCTCCTCAACGACATGCTCGCGTTGCCAAAGGTGCGGTCACGCATACCGCTGAGGTCGTGATGAGGGAAGGGGGAGGGTGATGATGATGGTGCTGATCATGGTGAGCTGGTGGCGGGGATGCAACAAGTGCGGTGCTGGTTAGACACTCGCTCTTGGGTAGCGCTCGTTTCACCAACTGCACGTTGCTGCTTTGTTGCTTATGCACTGATTCACCCATTCACCCACTCACTCACGCGGTCACTGTCCCATTCATTCTTGTGTTTGTGTCAGGCTGACCGGCCGAAGCAAGTTGTCATGATGTTCAAGGCGTACGAGTACACCAAGAAGGTACAGTCACGGTTTGCTTGTCCGTCTTGGAATGCAGCATCACTATTTGACAATGCGCGCGTTGTTTCCCTCGCGCTCACTGTGCCACCACCATGCACGCTTGTTTTGCCGTGTGCTGAGACACATCCTCACACACACACACACACACACACACACACACACACACACACACACACACACACACACACACACACACACATGCATGTCTACACACGCAAGTAGACGAAGACCGCGACACCATCTGGTGTGGAGTTTTACGGCCCAGAGGACACATTCTTCTTCAAGGTGAGCCCTTCCACACATGCACGCACATGTGGACACACTGCTGCCGTATTCTTTGTTCCATTCACACACACACACACACACACACACACACACACACACACACACACACACACACACACACACACTAACGCAGAGCGCCGCCTCGACGCATCGGTTCAACATTCCAAAGACATCCGGGCAGCTGCAGGATAGCACACAACCAGACAAGTGAGCCAACAGGCGCTTTGCTCCTCCTCACTTGATGCTCCCTGCCATATTCTTCTGTATTGCTTTCTGAGTTGGCATGCCTGTTGTCATTGGCTTCTCACCACCACTTCACCTTTCCCCTCGCGCCCCACCTGTTGGCAGGATGTACCGCGTTGTGTGCGTGCTGTCCTTCAAGGCGTTCCGAGCAGCGGCACAGCAAGTTGCATCCGCCTTTGTCGCACAATACGACGGCTGTGCGTAATGGTGATGTGACCCGCCCTCGACCACCACAAACCGCACCGCACACTGTCAACACCCTCGCCCACTGCAACAACACGCGTGCATACACGTTCATAGCTGTCAATAAACTCGCTCCCATCCCTCGATGTGCGGGATGCCATCCATGTGGCGTATCATGAGCTGCGTTTACTTGTGCTGCACAAGAAAGCATGACGCAAACGCAGCAGTGGATATCAGGGTCAAGGGCAAAGGGATGCGTGTGGGAGCAGGTTTACTCGGCAACAGTCTTCCTGGCACGGCCCTTGGTCTCAGGGCGGGGCACGACCTCCTTCTGCTTCATGAAGATCATCTCAATGTGGCAAGGAGAGGACTTGTAGGCTGCACGCAACAGCAACACACACACACACACACACACACACACACACACACACACACACACACACAGGCACGGTGAGGTCGGTGTGAGCCAAGGCGACAGCGCACTCCAGTGCAAAACGCTCATGCCAGCAGAGATGGGTCGTGATTTCATGACACGGCACAAGCCTCCACTACACCACACCAAACTCCACTTTCACCATGCAACTCTTCAACGCACGCACACGGAGATACCCACACAAACATCACAAGCACAAACTGCCTCCCTCCACCCCGCATAAAACACTTACGGTTGATGCGACCGTGCGCTCTGTAGGTACGACGGCGCATGTGGGGTGCGCGGTTGACCTGGGCGTGCTTGATGAAGAGGGACTCGGGCTGCAGGCCCTTAACCTCGGCGTTGCTCTCGGCGTTCTTGAGGAGGTCGAGAACAAAGTTGCACGACTTGAGTGGCCAGCGACCCTGTGTCCAGTTGTGCTGCTTGGCCTGTGGTGGTGATGGTGGTTGTGCATGCGTGCAAAGAGGTGTAAGAACAACAATATTGGAGCATCAAGCAAAGGGAGGAAAGCGTCAGCGATGTCACTTGTGCATCGGCGTGCGCACAGAGGTGAAGAGTTTGTCCTGCCTCTCTAAGCACTTTTGTGGCTCACGCCGGAAGTCAACAGCGCAATCACCACAGTGGACCAGCAAGCACAAGCAATATGGGAGCTGCCGTTTTCTCCAACTCGCGCCAATTGTCCCCGTCCACGCCACCGTCCCCATTCGGTTTTCACTCAAGCGCGCGCACACGCACACTGTGTCTCCCTCGTCGTCTGCGCATGACACATCAGGGGTACGCACCATGCCCTTGCGGCCAATACCGCCGTTCCTGTAGCGCTTGAAGGGGACAATCTCCTTCTTGGCCTTGACGTTCTCGAGGAAGCGCACGGCACGGGGCAGGCTCATGCCCCGGATGGCGTGCACGGTCTCGCGCGTGTTCTTGTAGTGCACACGCAGGTAGGAACCACGCGTCTTCACGACTGTTGGCGATGTGATGCGATGCGCAGGTGCGTGTTGGGGTGTGCATGCGTGTGCAAGTGTGTGATGAAGATGAAGGTGAGCAGCAGGCAAGGACGGAGATGGGGGGGGGGGGGAGGAGGCATGACAGTGTGGGCGATCATGTGGTGGGTGGGTGCTGTTGCTGTCGTGGTGGAGTCGTGGTTGCTGTTGCTTGCGCAGGTCTGGGCGGAGTGGTACACTCGTCGATTGAACCCGTTGATTGGGCCGCTTTCTTTACCACGCCGCCACTGCCACCGTCCCCGTCACCATCACCAGCAGTACAACCAAGCCACCTCCCACGTGCACGTCACACAAGAACACACACACACACACAAAGCCTTGGGGCGGGTGCTGCTGTCAGTCTGCTGCTGCGCTGCGCGCATGGGCCCACCACACGCACGATCGATGCCACTTCACCACACAGCTCATCATTGCTGTTGCTGCTTGTTGTTGCCACTGTCGCTCGCCCATCAACGCAAAGAAGCACGTGCGTGTGCTCCGGAGGGGGGGGGGACACATCAGCACCCGCGTGTTGTTGTCGTCGTGCAACGGTGCCACCCCTCGTTCACCGTGCACCGCTTCCACCACCTTCACGCAAAACCTCACACACACACACGCACACAAAAGCTGCTTCATTTCCCCTCCGCTCAGAGATGCAGTGCTTGCTGACTGCTCACCGTTGTCCTGCTCGGCGACATCCCAGGAGTAGCGCACCATGGTGGCGGTGTTGGTGGTTGCTGTATGGGGAGATGGGGAGAAAAAGGGAGCAAATCTCAGCGCTCACACACGCGACACAAGGAAAAAGGGCCAGCAAAAGTACCTGGCACTTGCCACGGTACTCATGCGTGGAAACTTGTCCAAAGAATTTCACCAATAATCATGCACAACGCTTTCTGCCCATATCATGCGCCAACCTTCCAGGGCACAAGAAAATCTGATAAAGCTACCCACCAATTGTCAAACCCAAACAAACCACAGCAAAGCAAAGCAACAAGGCAGCACCCAAAATCCAAAAATCACTGGCTGACCAACCAAACCACCACCCTGCAAGGCAAGCCAAGCGGCAAGCGACGAGCGACAAGCAACGATGAGCAGCAACGCTGTTCAGTACCTGGCTCGGCGCCGGTCGCCGATTCGTTACACATCGTACGTGATGCGCGTGAAGTGTGTGAAGAGTGTGTGAGGTGTGTGTGCGTGTGTGTGTGTTTGATTTGATCTGGGTGTGCACGCTTGATTTGAGTGTGTGAGTTGATGTCTGTGTCATGCATGCATCATACCTTCAGGATTCATGCGACGTCATGTCACATCACTGCTTCGCTCACGTCCATCTCACATCATGCTACTCATGCCATGCAATTTATGCCATCACACACACACACACACGCCAAACACACACACACACAACATCACACACACACACACACACACACATACAACATCACACACACACACACGCCACACACACACACACACATACAACATCACACACACGCACACACACACGCGACATACCGCTTTTCGTCTCTCCTCCCCTCCTGCATGTAGGCGGTCGTTGCGATCGCCAACACCCCCGCCCGCACCCGACTTTGACGCGGGCGATGACGAGTCTCCAGCCAGCCCTGGTGTGGAGGCACCCATTGCAGACACTGAGCAAGCCAAGAGCATGGCCCCTGCCACCGAGGAAGAGGTGAACCGCCGCGCGTTGGCCATCGCAGGGAAAGTGGCCGCCCTCACCCTGCTCGCCGTCCCCGTCTGCTACCTCTTCGACTTTTTTGGCGAGAACCTCTCCGGGTTTGGCACCTTCCTCTTTGGCCTCACCATCCTCATTGGATTCCCCATGGGCCTGCGCGACATGTTCTCCGTCATCCCGGACCACGACATGTTCATGTACTTCTTCTCCGTCTTCGCCTTCACCAGCGCCATTGACTTTATCCTTGCCTTCACCATTGACAAGCGCAACGCCGTCCTCGTCGAGTGAGTCTCCGATGCGTGCGTGTGTGCGTGTGTGTGCATGTTTGTTCGTCTACATGCGTGCGTGTGCGCATGTGCATGTGCATGTGCGCATGTGCGTCTACATGTGTGCATGGGGCGGTGTGTTTCTGTGCATCTCCTCTCGGCTGGATGCAACCTCGCCCCCCCCCCCTCCGGTCGCCTCGTTGCGACCGTTGTCCCCCCCCCCTCCATCCCCACCCATCAAGTGTCACTCACCCAACGTTCGTTCCCTCCTTCCTCCCCTAGCTACCTCGAGCGTGGCGAGCCCTATCTGTCCACGGCGTACGGGTTTGCGGCCAACCTGTGGGACGGCACCGCCCACTGGCTGCTGTACATTATCATGATCTTCGGCCTGGCCTCCCACAACCCGGCACTCTACCGCTCGTACTACCTCTACTGGATCGGCTCCATCACGTTCTCCCTGTGCAAGCTCATGCCTGGTGCCGCCATCGGCCACTTTAGCCACGCCATGGACTACTCCGCCTTCCTCAACGTCCCGTTCATCCTCCTCCCCGTGTACTTTCTCAAGCGCGTCATTGACACGCCGCGCCCGATCGAGCCTGCCAAGCGCGGCACAGCGTGGATGGAGGCTGCCTTTGCCGCCTTGCTCTCCGTCGCCGTCATTGTCCTTGGCATCCGCTTTGCCGCGGCCAACAACTCCGACCTGCCCATTGCTGCCGCCTGGCGCGAGGTTGAGCCCACGCTCGATGACCCCTCTCGCTTCTTCGCCGTCACCAGCATGGTGCACCTCTACTACGCCGTGCCCATGATGAGCGTGCTCATCGTCACCATGCTCTTTGGCGCCTCCCGCACCCAGCGCGGCTTCTGCAGCGACGTGGCCGTGCTGCTCGCTGGCGGCATGGGCGAGTCGCAGTTCTGCTACATGGTGTCTGCCTTCCACCACCTCACCCCAGACAACCTGCGCGTCTCCCCAGACTCGTGCGGGTTTTGGGGCATTAACGTGGGCCTCGTTGTCCTCACCCACGCCATTGCCGTCTACCTCACCTCTCGTCGCGGCCTTGCAGGCATCTTCAAGTGATGACTGACTGTCGTGCAAGGGTTGTGTGGGTACGTGTATACGTGCGTACGCGTGTTTTGTGTGTGTGTGTGTGTGTATGTGTGCGTTGCACGTGTGCTCACGTACGTTGTATGTACGTGTGCGCATGCGTTTGTCTGCTTGTCACACGCACACGTCGCGTGTCTACACGCCACAGCAAGTCCTGTACTCCCGTTGTTTTGTATCATTGAATGTGTTGTGTGAATATGCCACGTGCCTTCTTCATCATTGTTACTCTGCTGCTGTTGCTGCTTCTTGGCACACACACTTGTGTGCCCTTGGCTCTGCACGTCCTGGTTTTTGTTACGATTTCATGCACAATTTGTTTTTGGCATTCGTGTTGTGGTGTTGCCTTTGCTTTGTGTCTGTGAGGCACTAGCTCGGCTCCACCGCAATTAAAGAAGCATAGAACGTGGCTGATAAGAGGTGTGCACTAGTGTGTGTGTGTGTGCGTGTGCGTGTTTGTGTGTGTGTGTGTGTGTGCGTGCGCGCGCTTGTGTGTTTGTTTGTTTGTGTGTTTGTGTGTGTGTGTGTTTGTGTGTGTGTGTGTGTTTGTTTGTTTGTGTGTGTGTGTGTGTACATGCACACACGTGTGCGCGTGCTCCTGTTTGCATGGGGTTGATTGCACGCTGCGTGAGTGCATGGCGTGTGTTATGTGTCGTTTGTTTATGGTGCAAGTGTCATAAGCGGGACCGACCGTAACGTAAAGGAAAGAGGGGAAGAGAAATTCTATCAACACGCATGTGAACAGGTGAAGGCAATGACTATGAACATGACAAGTTGTGATCACAAAATGAAACAACAATCGTAAGTGGCCAGCACACGATGAGCAAAGCAAGTCTGTGTGAAGAAACATGGGTTTACGAGAATGTGAATGTGCTCGTTTGCGCTTGTGCATGACGCATATTGGGTACAAGTGTGCGTGAACGTGCAAGCATCGGTCGAGTGAAGCGTACAATCGAGTCATCAGCCAAATGTGCTGCAGTTTGCCTTTGCTCTTCGCAGAGACCCCATGCGACGCAGTGGCGTTCCTTGCACGCTCGATGAGGCAGAGGGAGGCCGCCTAATGGCGCGATGGTGGGAGGTGACGAGAGGTGGCGGTGGTGGTGAGGGGTCAGGGAGGAGGAGGAGGAGGAAGTGGTGGTGTGGCAGGCTGGTGCATACGAGTGAAAGAGGACAAACAAGCTACCAGACACAAATACATGCACACATACAGACACATACATGTACACATACAGACACACAAACACACACATAGACACTCACTGTTGCTGGTGTTGCGACTGCTGCGCGTCAAAGGAGCCCGAGAGACTGGCGGTGCCAGACGGCGCCATCTGCCGTGCGCGCAGCGACGCAAACTTTCGCTTCCACTCCTCGCATTCTGCTGTCAAGCGCACGTTTTCCTCTCGCAGCCGGCGGCCGTCGCCGTCACGCGCGGGCGAGCCGCTCCGCTCCAGCATCTGCAGCGGCGACAATGGTGGCATGTGTGTGCGTGCGTGTATGTGTGTATGCGTGTATGCGTATGTGTGTATGAGAATGCGTGTCGAGAATGGATGAGGGAAATGTCGGTGCACACGTGAGCGTGTGGGGTGGATGTCAGATGGGCTGCCTGTACAAGGACACTGGGCGCATGTCACGTACAAACACACATGGACACACATGGACACACACACACACACACACACACACACACACACACACACACACACACACACACACACACACACATGCACACACACACACACACACACACACACACACACACACACACACAAGCACACACACACACACACACACACACAGGCAAACAAACACACACGTTCGACCCCACCTTTGCCTTGAGTGAGGCCTCATCGGCGTCGTCGATGCCAATGGCCTCCTTTAGCGCCTGGTTTGCCGACTGAAGATACTCCACCCTGTTCTTCAACTCCTCAATCTCTTCGCTCTGCTTCGCTGAACTCGTGCCACTTCTTTCCTTCTTCATCGCTGCCGGCGTCTCGTTCCTCTGCTGCCGTGTCACCCGCAACTCCTTCTCAAGTTCGTGTACGCGTTGCAGTGCACTCTCGTATTCTTCACGCGGCACGCTGTCCATATGGGCCGGCGACCCTCGCGACGATGTGGCAGGTGACGATGACAGTCGTGCCACCTGTGCTTGAAGCGTTTGCACTTGCTGCTGCAGGCGAGTTGCACTGGACGTGAGCTGGGACACCCGCTCCTCAGCAGCACTCGCGCGCTCCCGCCACTGCTGTGCGCGTGCGTCGGCCGCTGTCGCCTGCTGCTGCAACACGGCCTCCCGCTGCTGTGCTTGGCGCTGCGCCTCTGCAAGCGCGGTCGCTGTTGCTGCTGCTGAATCACCACCACCGCTGCCGCCACGCTGACTGGCGGCGAGGGCCTGGTATTCCTGGCGAAGCGTCGATACCTGCTGCTGCAGCCGTCGTACTTCCTCCACGCGCTGGTGCAGCACGTCGGCGTATTCGTCACGCGAGCGCAGGGCAGAGTCGCGCTGTCCCTGCAGGACTTGTATCTGTTGGTGCGCATGATGCAATTCGGCGTCCAGCTTGTCCACGTGGGCGGAGGCGTTGCGATCCACCTCGCGCGCACGGCGCTCCCAGTCGTCGCGCGCAGCCATCAGCGTCCTGTTCTCCGCATCCGCTGACGCAATCCGTTCACGCGCCGCACGCAACTCTGCGCGCGCCTCTGTGCTGCTGGCCTGAATGCTTTCCATCTCCTTCTTCGTTGCAGTGAGCTCTTCCTGCAAGGACGCGAGCGTGGCGTTGCGTGCGTTGACAACGTGTTGCTGCTGCTGCAGCTCAGATTGCAGCCGCTTCACGTCGCCCTCCAGCTCAGCCACCCGCGACTGGTCATCGCTGGTGTTGGTCATGATGCGCTGCTTGAGCCCAGATATGTCCCGCTCAAATTCCTCCCGTAATGTCTGCATTGCCCGCTCGTGCCCCGTGCGCAGATCCTGCTCACGCTGTCGCCACGTCTCCTGCACAGGTGTTGTGTGTGTATGTGTGTGTGTTTGAAGAGGGGACAGAGGAGAGGATCGCATCGATGTGTGTGCGTGAGAGTGTGTAGTATGCGTGAGAATGTGTCTTGTTAAGCTCACGTGTGTGCTCACCCAAGTGGATTTGCATTTTGTTTTGTTTTGTTGTGTGTGTGTGTGTACGCAAGGAACAATACACGATGTTCAAAGCATGTGGATTTGATGCGAGACGCATCAGCGATGCGCGTGCACGCGGGACCGTGAGCCCTCACCTTGTCGCGTCGTCTCAACTCATCAAACTGGTCCTGCTCCTGCTTCCTGCGTTCTCGGAGCGCTGCCAAATCCATTTGCAGTGATGAAATCTCGTCATTTGCATCACGCAACTTCTGCTGCAACGTGCTTTCCCGCTCGTCCAACACGCGCCGCAGTTTTTCTTGGAGGAGGAGAAGACGAAGAAGACGAGGGAAGGGGAGGGGCGTGGGGGGGGGAGATGTGTCAATGTGTGTGTGTGTGTGTGTGTATGTGTGTGTGTGTGTGTGTGTGTGTGTGTGTGTGTGTGTGTGTGTGTGTGTGTGTGTGAATACGCGTGTGCATGTACATTCGAGAGGACACGTCAACTTGTGCATTCGTCTGCGCATGCCCTACATGCACACATGCACACACACGCACACATGCACACGCACGCCCAAATGTACACGCCACAGGCACTACACCTCCTCACCGTTCTCGTTGATGGCTGCGTTGAGCTGCGTGTTGTGCTCTGCGCGCATGTGCGCCATCTGCGACCTCAGCTCCTTGATTGCGTCATCGCGCTCTTGGCCAATGCGGCGAATGCTGTCTGAATATGACGCCTTTGTTGCCTTCAGCTGCTCCTGCAGGGCCGCTTTCGCTTGCTGAAAACCAAGAACAAGGGAGGGACACAAGCGTGCGTACAACACATGTGAGTGAGTGAGTGTGTGTGCGCGCGCAGCAGGTCAGCGTTCGCGAAAAGGAGAAAGCGTACCACGACAAAATTCACGTGAACGAGTTCCCCGGCACCCTCGTCACCCCAACGCGTTCACCACCTTCATCCTTGTCACCCCAGCGTTGCACCTGCAGTTCGGGCAGCAAGTCTTCAGAGTCGTGCACTTTGATGAGCTGTGTGCGCAGTTTGTCCAGTTCCACATCCAAGCGGGTGTTGTCCGCCTCAAGCTGTAAATTGCGCTGTCGCAGCGTTTGGTTGTCGCTACGCAATCGTGTTTCAACGGAAACCGTTTCCTGTCTTGCAGACGCCAATTGCGCCTTGAGTGTGCGCAACACACGCTGGTAGTCCTCCTTGTCCTGTTGCCGCGCCGTGAGCTCCAGCGACATGGCCTGCGCCTGTGCTTGGAGGTCGTCGTACCGTGCCTGCAGGCTCTCCTTGTCCATACGCACGTGCTCAAGGAGGCTCAGCGATGACGCAGAGGGTGACACGGGCCGTGTTCGGCTCATGTTCTCTGGTGAAGGTTGAGGCGACGGCGAGAAGGGCAGCACTGGCTTCTGCCTGCGTTGCTGTTGCTCCTGTTCCAGGAGTTGCCGTCGTTGCTGCTGCTGCTGCTGCCTGCTGGCCGGCGTGCTTGTGGTGGTGCTCTGCACATCAACGCTGTTGTTCAAGTCCATACCACCACCACCGGCACCAGCTCCGCTGCCCTGCAGCCGGCGAATCAGCGTGGGCGAGGGGCCAGAGCGCTCGGAGTGGATGCTTACTGTGCTGCCGACGCTGTTGGAGGAACGCTTGCGACCAGCGATGCCAGCAATGCCGGAGACAGGATCTGTGTATGGGAGGCTGAAGTCGATAAAGGCGCTTCGCGCGTCAACAACAACGGATTCGGACTGCTGTGTTGGACGAAACACAGGGCCACCAGGTGATGGTGGCTGTTGTTGTTGTTGTTGTTGTTGTTGTTGTTGTTGTTGTTGTTGTTGTTGTTGTTGTTGTTGTTGTTGTTGTTGTTGTTGTTGTTGTGTTGTGTGCTTCGTTCCACTGTCTGTTTCTACCATGATACCAGGCACATCTTGTTGCTGGTGAGTTGGCGGCTGTGGCCGTTGTCTCGCTGCTGGAACCGTGGAAGAAGAAGCAGAAGAAGAGGGGAGCTGCTGGGGCTGCTGCGCTTGCTGTTGTTGTTGCTTCACCGAACTCGCCACTGCCGTTTCATCCTTCTCTGCGATAACACGAGAAGTACGCGGGCTGTTTGACGCCGAGCGTGATGTGGATGTGTTGCGAACGGGAATGGGTGGTGTTTTCCTCGTCCCACCTCGACTTCCAGGCCGGCTCGTTCGCTTGCCCCTTCCTGATTGTTGTTGTTGTTGTTGTTGTTGTTGTTGTTGTTGTTGTTGTTGTTGTTGTTGTTGTTGTTGTTGTTGTTGTTGTTGTGGTTGTCGTGAAGGTGCATTATTACCGACTACCACCTTCCCTTCAACAGCCTGCAGTGCTTGCTTTGCTGCATCCTGCTCCACTTGTCCCCCCTTCAGCTTGCTTTTCTCATTGCCCGTCGATGCTGCTGCGTCTTCTGCGTACATGGCTGGCGGTGGTATGCCTTGCACGGGGACATCACTGCATGTCTTTGTTGGTGATTCAATAGACGCCTGTCGGTTATGCTGCGGGTGTGTGTCTACATCGTCACCAACGCCCACTGCTCTGCCTTCGTCGGCATCACTACCCGCGGCAGCTGTCTTTGGTGCTGTTGTGTCAGCAGCAGTGGGCGCACGCACAACTGAAGCGTTGTCGTGGCTGTCGAACCCGCCCACTTGGTCACCGTCAACTACAAGCGCCACCTTGTCCTGCTGTGCTGATGTGGACGAGCCTGGTTGTTGTTGTTGTTGTTGTTGTTGTTGTTGTTGTTGTTGTTGTTGTTGTTGTTGTTGTTGTTGTTGTTGTTGTTGTTGTTGTTGTTGTTGTTGTTGTTGTTGTTGTTCGCTCTCTACCTGTTGTTTTGGATGTGTTGGCTCTTCTGGGCGTTGCGGTCCATGCTGCTGCTGCTGCTGTTGTTGTTGTTGCTGTTGTTGCGATTCAGTTGTGGCTGCTTCCGCTGCTGTTGGCGGTGGTGTTGCAACAGCGTTTGTCTCAACCACCCTTGTGACATTGGCAGCATTCCCTTGCTGGCCAGACCCACCACTCTCCTCGGGTTGCTTCTCGTTCACGCTCACGTCTCCAACGTTGGTAGGAACATGCACAGCTGCATCACCATCACCATCACCATGACCATCACCACCAGTCACACCAGCAGCTCTCTCCGGTGTCGCAGGCGTGTCCTGCTGTGCACTCGACACGGGACCAACCGCATTCTGCAGCACGGCTGCCGGGGCAGTAACAGCCGCTGCCATCGCAGGCTCTGTCGTGTGTGCTTGCCCTTGAACAGCCACCGGTTCCTTGTCTTCCCTTGCTGCTGGTGCTGACGATTGCTGCTGTGGGCGTTGGGGTCTGCTGCGGCGCTGTGGCATTCGCACATTTGCACCTGGTACTGCTGCACCCTTCCCTTGTGCCCCCTTCCCACCTCCACCACCACCATCATTCCTGGCACCAGCAGACAGGCTGCTCTGACTGCCAGTGTTGCTGCCACTGCTACTGCTACTGAGTCGGCGCGGGAGCTGATGCCGCCGTGGCGTTACAGGCGCGCTCGACGGCGTTGATGATGCTATTGGTGGCGATGATGAAGAGGACGGTACGCCAGCATTGGACGCGGTCGTGGCCACGCGTGTTGCGGGCGTCGTCGTCGTTGCAGTTGTGGCTGGAACTGCATTTGCATTTGCAGTGCGTTGGCGCTGGGCAGGTGCTGTGCCGTTGGTCGCCGCTGCTGTTGTGGCTGTGGTGGTGGGTCTTGCTGCTGTTGTGGCTGTGGCTGCACGCGTTGTCGTCGAGGTACGTTGCGAAGCAATGGTGATGGTTGTGTTCACGGCCGATGTGGCTGGGTTCTGCGTGGAGGCTGGCGGTGGCGGCCGCGACACGGACACGGTTGTGTTGATGCCTGCCGCTGGGGAAGTGGAGGAGGCGCCGGATGACCTGCGTCGTGCAGTGGGGCCGCTTTGCTGCTGGCGGGCTGCGCTCGCGGCTGGGGGCGGGCCTGTGCTTCGCCGAGCCGCTGCCCCTGCTTGCTGCCTTCGCCGCGCCTGTGTCTGTGCCTGTGTGTGCTGTGTTGTGGGCTTCATGGCGGCTGGTGCTGTGGCGCTGAGCACCTGACGGCGCTGGCGAGCGTTTGAGGATGGCACACCGCGCCTGCCCCGTGCTGCTGTCGCTGCTGTACCTGCTGCACGGCCGCCACGGCTGGGTTTGTCTACCCCGTTGCTGCTGGCAGCAGAGGGGTCATCTTCACCCGTGTCTGTGAGGAACGTGATGGCTTTGCCTTGTACAAACACGCCGTGCCGTGTTGGGCACTTGAAGTATCTGTGCCCTGCCACGGACCCATCGTTCTTCCCCTGTCACCGCCACATGTGTGTGTATGTATGTGTTTGCATGAGTGTGTGTATGCATGCGAGAGAGAGTGTGTGTATGTGTGTATGCATGTGTGTATGCGTGTTCGCGAATGCATGTGAGAGAGTGTGTGTATGCGTGAGTGAATGAGTGTTGTAAAGAGTAAAGTGAACGAGTCACACGCGGCTGCTTCGCACACTGCAAGTTACAGCATATAGTGCCGCGCGGCATCCACAACACACACACGCACACGCACACGCACACACACGCACGCACACACACACGCACACACACACACACACACGCACACGCGCACACACACGCACACACACACACACACACACACACACACACGCACACGCACACACACACGCACACACACACACACACACAGATCATCCACACCCACTCACTCACCGCAGGCTCATCGAGCCAGACGCCACACCAGGTGCCTTCCTTGAACTGGGTCGGGCCAACAAAGGCCAGCGTACCGGCACCTCGGCCAGGCACACGGACGCGTCGGCCCACATGCTGTGATCCCACCACCCCCACAGGCATCGCCGAATCAAAGCAGTGGGGGTTGTTATGTTACAAAAATGACGCTCCTCTCACAATTGGTACCTTTGTCCTGGTCTTCTTCCGCTTGTTCTTCTTGTTCTTCTGCTTCGTCGCTGTACGGCTCTGTTGTCTCTGTGCTTGGCGGCACTGTCGCCAATGTCAGCACACCTCCCTCGCGTACTTCCTACACACGCACACACACACACACACACACACTCCTGTGTTGTTGTTGGCTGCTGGCTGGCGCTGATGTCTTGTTGCTGCAGCCGCTTGAGCCGCTGGCGGTTGCTTCGCTGCCTTGCCCGAGTTTGTTTGGGTGGATTTGGTTTCGTCCAACATAAATTTCACGCAAAGGCAAATTTGCTGTTGGGATTTCGTTGCAAGTCAATTTTGACTTCAGCCATCGTGCTTTGAATTTCCCGGCGCTGTAGTAGGGTCATTTTCATTCGGTGGAGCGTGATTTCTTGTCCTCCAGCGATTTCCCAGAGGAAAGTGTGGGGTCTTTACGAGGACAACGACCCTACCCGACGGTTTTTTTTTGTGTTCGTTGTGGGCCAAAACGGAACATACACAGCTCTGCCTTTGCTTCTGCTTCTTGCTGAGGTGCCACCAACCAACTCCAACGAACCAAACACCAACCAACCAACGATTGTTGACTCTTGTCGGTCAGTAACGAGAGAGAAGACACGCACTCACGCACAACCAACACGAAGGAAGAGAGACGCAAGGCTCCCCCCCCGTGTGCTCGCCCCGACAAGTAGCAGGCAGCAAGGTGGGGAGATATTCTTGGCCCTTGCAGTGAATGGGAGTCGTGCTCGTGATCGATCTGCGACGCACAAGCGTGCTGCTTCCGACTTGCATTCCTCCTACCTCTTGTTTATTTTTGTTGAGGCTTTGCGTGTTGGGTACGAGTTGGTCTGAATTTGCTTGCTTGCTGCATGTCACCTTGCTCGCCAACTCGCCCTCGCCTGTTGTGCCTTGGCTGTGAATGCTTGTGCCCGTTCTCCGATTCCTTTCACTTTTCAATGCACACGCTCAAACGAACGCTCATCGCCGGCACTGTTGTCTGACTTGCCTCGCTTTGCACCGCACACACACACACACACTTACATCGCCACATGCATCCCTTTGCACGCAACACACACACACACACATTGAAACACACACGCACGCACGACGCCATTGCATTCATCAGGCGTTGTTGTGAGTAGTAGCACCAACGCGACCGGCAGTGCCACTGAACCACAGCAGCCACAGCAGCTACAGAAACAGTGAGTCTCAACAATGAATGCGTGCCCGCATGTGTGTGTGTGCGGGAATGCGCTGAGCAAGAATGCAATTGCTGCTGGTGGCGGTGGAGACGGTGCTGTCGCTGCTGTGGTTGCAGGTACATGAACGCACCCGTGTGGCGGCAGTGCATGCGTGGTTCTGACATGCCACGCGTAATGCACCTGCTCGCTGCATGCAGATGACAGATCAGGTGCTCAAGTACCTGCGCATCCCAGCCAGCTCTCGCCAGGGGTACGAGGACTCCTCGGCATGGGCTGCCAAGCGGCTGGCTTGGATCCCAGATGAGAAAGAAGGTACAGCGACAAGCCAACGTGATATGGTGGTAGTTGGGCACTCTGTGGTTGAAGACCGGGCGCACTTGGTGAGGGAGAAGAGCAAGCATAGCTTGTAAAGCCTGAGAGTGCTGCACCTGTGGTGCTGTCATCAACGCGGCCGTGTGCAGCGCTTGTGGACCAACACACACTGACGCCTGCATGTGCACAACACCCCTTTCAGGCTTTGTCTTGACCGCCATCAAGTCTGATGAGGGCGAGGAAGTCACATGCCAGCGCGAGGACACGCGTGAAATGGTCACGGTGCGTTCAACTTCGCTGCTCTGTGTGTGTGTGTGTGTGTGTGTAATCCTTGGCTCTGAGAGGGTGCGTGTTTGGTGCATGGACCAACCCGACCCGAGCTCCGTGAAACGTCGTGTGCTGTATCTAACCTTGTGTCCTGCGTGTGCGTGTGGGCTTTTTTGGTGACAGGTGAGCGCGGATGATGTGCAGAAGGCCAACCCACCCAAGTTCAACAAAGTGGAGGACATGGCCGAGCTCACCGTGCTGAACGAGGCATCTGTGCTCTTCAACCTGCGCGACCGCTACCACGCCGACCTCATCTACGTGCGTGCATGTGTGTGTATGTGTGTGTGCGTGCATACATGTGTGTGTGTGTGGCGAGCTGGAAATGGTTGAGATCATTGAGATCATGCCTATGATGGTTGTGGTGTGTGTTTGTGCACTCTCGCACATCGCCGATGCTTTCGCGCACTGAACCCCCACCTCCACCAACACACACGCACATGGTTGCAGACATACTCTGGGCTGTTTTGTGTGGTGGTGAACCCGTACAAGAACATTCCCATCTACAACGACGACGCCATCAAGCTGTACAAGGGCCAGAAGCGCGACGCTGTGCCGCCGCACGTCTTTGCCATTGCCGACCTCTCCTACCGCAGCATGCTCCAAGGTTCGCGCGCGTGTGCATGGTGTTGGTTGACAGTCACTTTGTTTGGGGGGGGGGGTATGGTGGTGTTGGTGTTGCGGTCCTCCTGACGCGTTCGCTGCTGTCAGTGCGATGGTGTCTTGCAAATGCTCACGCACTTGCGAACGCATGTTGTGCACCTGCTGCTTGTATTGAACCGCAGATCGTGAGGACCAGTCCATTCTCTGCACGTGAGTTGCTACCGTTGTGCTGGCCATGTGTTGTGTCGTACTAACGCCCGCTGTTAAGGCCACAGTGCCTCTGTTCTCGCTCTGATTGCTTTGCGTTGCCCACACAACCCTACAACCAAATCAACACACACATACGCACACTCACACATGTTAACGCACGTGCTCGCCCGTACTCACCCTCCGACTTTCTTTACATCTCTGCGTCCACGCGCCTTTTTTGCCTGTGTGTGTGTGCGTGTGTCGCCAGTGGCGAGTCTGGTGCAGGCAAGACGGAGAACACGAAGAAGGTCATCCAGTACCTTGCGAGTGTTGCCGCCACCACGCGCCGCGACCCGGACACGCTGGCCATGTTCGCCTCCGACGCAGCAGCAGGCAGCACCATGGGCAAGGTCCGCGCGCTGTGTACCCCTGGTGGTGTCGTCGTTTGCGTCTGTGCTTGCGTCTGTGGGTGTGGGTGTGGGTGTGGGTGTGGGTGTGGGTGCGTGCGTGTGCACGTGACCGTCGTGATGATGGCGGCGTGTGCGCACGTGTGTGTGTCCTTGGTGGTGGTGGTGGTGGCTGTGATTGCGTTCATGGGCAAAAATACTGCATTTATGCATGGCTTGCGCTAACAGCTGTGACGCGTGTTTTAATTTTGTTTATGTCTTTGTTTGTTTGTTTTTTCTGCCACAGGGCGAGCTCGAGCGCCAGCTGCTGCAGGCCAACCCCATCCTGGAGACCTTTGGCAACGCAGGCACCATCAAGAACGACAACTCCTCCCGCTTTGTGCGTTGTGCTCTACACACCTACCCTTGCTGTTTATTTTGCCTTTTTTTTTTTTGTGGACATTTGGGTGTGCGCCAATGCCTCTGAACATCGTGGTTAGGACATCCGCATCGCTCACGCATTCCCCTGCTGGCATGATATCCCAAACACGCACACACACACACACACACACACACACACACACACGCGCACACACACACACACACACACACACGCACACAGGGCAAGTTCATCCGCATCCACTTTGATGCTGCTGGCTTCATCATTGGCGCGACGATTGACACGTATCTGCTTGAGAAGTCTCGCTGTGTGCGCCAGAACGAGAGCGAGCGCACATTCCACAGCTTCTACCAGCTCCTCCGCGGCGCAGACGCAAAGTACATCTGTAAGTCAACATCATGCACACATGAAGCCGCTGTGATAGTGCACTTGCGTGCTTTGTGTGATGACAGTGATGTGCTCACGGCAGAAAGACTGCATTTGTGCGTGCGTGTTTGGTTTCGTTATTGTGTGTGTGTGTGTGTGTGTGTGTGTGTGTGTGTGTGAGCACGCTTGCGACGCCTGACCCTCTCCCCGGGTTCCTGCTCGCCATGTACTAATTCATGTTTACCATGTATTCCTGCACATCTTTGGCAACAGCGGAGCTGCTGCTCGAGGACATCAGCAAGTACGAGTTTATCAGCAACGGCGACATGCACCTGCACCACGTGGACGACGGCAAGGAGTTTGCAGACACAAACGAGGCATGCCGCATCATGGGCATGACTGACGAGCAGATTATGGACGTGTGGCGCGTCGTCTCTGCCGTCATGCTCATTGGCAACATTGAGGTCAGCTCCCAGCGTCGTGGCGGCGAGCAGGCCGTCATCAAGGACGACTCAGGTCAGGCTAAGCACTTGCCCTTGGGCTGGAGGCGGAGGGGTTGGTTGGTTCATGAGTTTGCGTGGTGTTTGCGTGTGAGTTTGTTTGCGTGTTTGCGGGGTGTGTGTCCGTGTGTCTGCGTGTGTTGTACACGTGTCATGTATACGTGCTTGCTAGTGCGGTCGCTCTCGTCCCCCAGTTCTTGCTCTGCGTGTGGCGTGTGTATCCTCGCTTCACCTCTCACCCTCACCACTTCTACCACCACCGCCGCCTCCACCCTCGCATCATTCCCCAATGCAGTGTGCCAGAAGGTGTGCCACCTGCTCGGCATCAACGTGCTGGACTTCACGCGGTCCTTGCTGAAGCCAAAGGTCAAGGCGGGCCACGAGTTTGTGCACAAGCAGCAGACGAAGGAGCAGGTTGACTTTGCCAAGGAGGCCCTCGCCAAGGCGACCTACGAGCGCCTCTTCCTCTGGATCGTCAAGCGCATCAACAAGGTGCGATCGTGATGGCGGTGGAACAGGGGCGGGCTGTTGCTGTTGTCGTTGTGTTCATCGATACTGTCGCTGACACTGCTGTGAGTGTTGCTTCAGTTGCAAACATCCATCCTACCTGAAGTTTGGCCTCGCTCCTCACGATATACTCTCATACTCGGAAACACATACTCACACTCATGAACACGCACATACATACATACAAACACGCACGTTATCATTCACTCGCGTTAACCCACACGTACAGACGCTGGACCGCAACATCCGGGATGCGCGCACGTTCATCGGCATCCTTGATATTGCAGGGTTTGAGATTTTCAAGGTGAACAGCTTTGAGCAGCTGTGCATCAACTACACCAACGAGCGCCTGCAGCAGCTGTTCAACAGCCGCATGTTCCAGCTGGAGCAGGACGAGTACCAGAAGGAGAACATTGACTGGGAGTTTATTGACTTTGGCCTTGACCTGCAGCCCACCATTGATCTGATTGAGCGCAAGGGCATCCTGCCCCTCCTCGACGACGAGTGCTTCTTCCCCAAGGCCACAGACCAGTGAGTGGCAATGGTGCTAGCGTGCGTGGTTGGTTGGTTGGTTGGTTGGTTGGTTGGTTGGTTGGTTGGTTGGTTTGTGTGCGTGTGCGTGTGCATGAGAGTGAGAGAGAGTGTGTGTGTGTGTGTTTGTGCGTGTGCGGACAGCCTGTTGTTTGCGAATGGCATCGCTTGCCGGCTGTGGCTTATCGGCTTATCCATATCGCCCACCGTGCCACACCCCCGCCCTTTGCCTGTGCCAGGTCCTTTGTTGACAAGGTTGTGAAGCTGCTCGGTGACGACGAGAAGCTGAGCAAGCCTGCGCTGCGCGAGGACTGCGACTTTGCTGTCGTGCACTACGCCGGCCGTGTGCCGTACCAGGCTGCCGGCTGGCTGGTCAAGAACAAGGACCCGCTCAACGACAACGTCACTGCGCTGCTCGCCAAGTCTGGCAACGCGTTTGTGGCCACGCTGTGGAGCGACATGTTCTCTGGGTCGCTTGCCTCTGCCAACCGCACGCGCAAGGGCGCCTTCCGCACGGTCGGGTTCATCTACAAGGAGAACCTCAACCACCTCATGGACACCCTCAACCACACCACGCCCCACTTTGTTCGCTGCATCATCCCCAACCACGAAAAGAAAGCAGGTGCGACCATGTGTGAAGGCGGTTTTTTTTTCCGTGGTGGCCATTCAATGTGGGACATGGTGCAATTGGTGACGTTTCCATGCAGCGAATGCTTGCTTGCACGTGTGTCAGCTTGCTTCTTCGATGCTGGCCTTGAATTATTTTCTCTCCCCTCCCCCCCCCCCTCATCTTTGACTGTCACTCACTGCCTGTTCCTCCTTCGCACACGCGTTTTTCTATCCCTCCTGCCACATTTTGCTCTCGCCCACGCAACCGCCGCGGCTGCAGGCAAGATTGATGCGCCGCTTGTGCTTGACCAGCTGCGGTGCAATGGTGTACTTGAGGGCATCCGCATTTGCCGCAAGGGCTTCCCCAACCGCATCCTCTTCCAGGAGTTCAAGCAGCGCTACTCCATCCTCGTCCCAGAGGCCATCCCTCGCGGTGAGCCTCACTGTGCTGTACATGCGCGACTGTGCGTGTGTTTGTTATTTGAGGGTGGTTATGTGGTTATGTCTGTGTGTGTGTGTGTGTGTGTCTGTGCAGCGAACAACAACAACGCAATCAACTGGGCTGCCACCCAGCTCTCCTCTTTGTATTGCTCACATTCGTAGTACACGCACGCAAACACACACACACACACTTTGACGCGCACGCAGGCTTCACGGACGGGCGCCACGCGTGCGAGAAGATGGTTGAGGCGCTGAACCTGGATGCGCAGTCGTACCGCATTGGCCTGACGAAGGTGTTCTTCCGCGCCGGGATCCTTGCACAGCTTGAGGAGCAGCGCGACCTCAAACTCTCAAAGGTGCGATTCTCTTTGCAGGCCGTGCTCTTGTGCTTTGGTGCATTTGCTTCTGGTTTTATCGTGGGACAATCCGTCCATCGCCTTTCCTGCTCGCTTCTTTTCCTCCTCTCTTCTCGCTCTTTCCCTTTTCCCCTTCTCCTCCTCCCTTTACCTTCGCCCTTTCCTCCCCTCCATCTTACTTACTCGCGTTGCCTGTTCCGTGCCCCTACGCGTGTGTGTGCAGATGATCATTGGGCTGCAAGCGTTCTGCCGCGGGTACCT